TCCGAATCGAAATCGTGATTTCTCGAAAATATATATGTCGGAGCTTTTGGAATATAATAGCTCACGATACTCGAAACTGCATGTATACTAAAAAATACAAAACGCATCGTGCTACGATCGACCAGTATAATAATTAGGGCTGTGCGAGTATCCGATTTTTCGAGTTTTACTCGACCTGAACTCGACTCACCGAGTTCGAGTCGAGTTCGAGTAGAGTCGGGAAAAATCGAGTACTCGAGTTTCTTTTTGGGTGCTCGCAATAAATTAAAGTTTTAAGTAAATAAATGATGAATTAATAGTCCATAGATCACCTCCCTTTGTGTGAACATGCTTATAAGTGTGATATTCGCAGCGGCTAGAAGTGGAAGAAGAAAATAATTTAATAGTAGCACACCTCATCACTTTTATAAGCATGTACACACAAAGAGAGGGGTCTAGAGACTGTTGATTCATCATTTATTTACTTAAAACTGCCAGTATTCCAAAAAAGTCCATTGCTCGAAAAAACTCAAAAAATCGAGTACTCGACTCGAACTCGAGGAAAAAACTCGATCTCGGCGAGTCGAGTTTTTTCGAGTACTCGCACAGCCCTAATAATAATATAAACAGTGTGTTGTGCGACCGATCTCGATTTTAATCGCTCGTCGTCTCGCCTGGCAGCAATGATTATCGTGTCATTGAGCCTCACACGCGATAACGTGAGCAGGGCTCGTTGCCCACACACACACACACACACACACACGCGCGTGTACACGCTTTGGCGTGCAGAAAAAAAATGGAAAGGAAAATAATACGAAAAAAAATAACAGAAAAAAAAGAGAGAGTAGAGAGGTAGGCAATAGCCGGAGCGCCGAGTATAATAATAGCAGCGAAGCTCTGCTGCGCGCAAGCTTTGGATTGTGCATTGTGTATAAGGGGATGAGGGGCGGGGGATGTCGTTTGCTAATAATCGAGCCGATATCCAGCACGAGCGAGGAAGGGAAGAGGGAAGAGGGAAAGCTCGGGCAAAGTACATTGATAGAGTGAAGTCGTGCTATATATATGCGCGTTATATACACGTATTGTGCCGCGCCGTCGTTGTCGTTACTATTATATGTACTCTCTGGCTCGGCTGGCTTTGGCTGCACCGCCGCGCGCGCGAGGCCACACGCAGCGGCAGTGCAGTGCAGCGGCGGTAGGCAACGATCCAGGTACATATACAGTAGTAGTGCAGTTATATATGTATCATGCGAATGCATTTAGTATATATAGGCTGGTGCTCGCGCGCGCGCGACCGCTGCCGCTGCACGAGCCCCTAGTCAATAAAACCAGGACATGTATTCCTCTCTCTCTCTCTCTCTCTATTTCTCATTATTCTACTCGCTGCGGTGTTCTAGCTTATATATATACGTACATTTGTCCCTCCGTTGTTGTTTTTTTCTGTTTTTTTTTTCCACGCCGACCGTTGTGTATATTTATTTGTTTATACAAAAGAGCGTGTAACGCGTGAAAACACGCGCGACTTTATATTAGACCGGGCCGTTTTTGCAAAATGTGTGGGTAGTGTAAGGTAATCTTACACGAAATTCTATTATATGATTGCCATTTTCAGAGCAATTTTGTTAAGTTTCCGAAGCACGTTCTCAAACTTCAATAGCCTATCGACACCGGTTCCTGTCACTTTTTTGACTTCTTGAGCCCGCTTTGTATCATCTGAAACCTTGAACTTTCAGTTCAGCCATGAGCCCAGGCGAAACAAAAAAATTTTGCAAAATCAGCCCGGTCTACTGTATACAGAGCTTGCAAAAATCACGCCTACTCGTCGCACGCCTGCTCGCACGCATGCGGACATAGCTAGGTATATAACTGAGCTAAAGCACATTAAAAGTACATTTTTCGCGATCGATCGCCGTTTAATGGACTTTTTAATTCGATCGAACGGCGTCTCTGCGGCTCGATAGCTGCGCGAAACAAAAATCTGATACTTTTAATTTCCTGCGAGGCACAAATCCGATGGCTGCGCGAGTGTCGTACTATCAGATCACAAAAACAATAACAAAAAAAAAAAGCGCAGCCGAGGAAAAATGCGGCTTGATTAGTGACTCACTCGACTGCTCAGTCGGACTCTGGCTCTTGCGGAATAATCCGCAAGTGCACATTCCCGGCTCGCGAGTATTCATCCATGCAGCGGTTTAATATATATGTACGTGTATATTAATTAAAAGGGCAATGAGCGGGTGGCCACACGCTGGCAACAGGGGTTCAGGGCTGAAGAGAAAGGGGGCGGGCGCTTGTGTCCATGGAGTCGAGTCGAGTCGCTGCTGCTGCTGCTGAAAAGGTGCGGAGACTCCGAAGTGTAATCCATTAAATTACGCGCTCGAACGAGCTCGTCGCGCTGGCGTGCGGCAAAGCACAACGCGGCCATCCAGCCGCACACACAGACAATACACGTACGCGTATATATACGTACAGTAGGGTACTAGGCGTTATATAGGGATATACAGCAGCACGGTACGGTACAGGCTTTCGCGTAACATTTAATAACTTTTTCAAAGCTTCGTTGACCTAATTACTTTTGGCGTTGGGACGTGTGTATGTATACGCGTACATAAACGAAGACGCGTCGTATTATATACGCTATATATACAGCTGCTGCCTGAGTAAGTATAGAGAGAAGACGTACATTACAGTTGCACATATGTAATATAGTTAGATGTAACTGCGAGGACGACGTCGGGGCATTGCGGGAGCTTTAACTGCGAAATCGGAAATTTTAAGCCGCGGCGCGCGCAAGCTCGGGGCTGCTTTGCACTGTCCCGCAAGGTGAATGTCGTATACGTATACGTGTGCACCCAAAGTACGTACGGCTGCTGCTGCTGCTGCTGCTCCGTTCTCTATCGCCCATTTGCATATAAATTAATTTCACTCGTGCTTAATGTAAATGCGCGCGACTCGACGCTCCGTCCGTATTATAGATATAGGACGAACGGTGCGGCGGCATTAAGCTGCCGAGTAGACGCCCGGAGAATTCAGCCCGGGCGAGCAAGATCATCCGCGACGACGGTCGCGAATCTCTGCTACGAGTCACTTTTGAGAGCGAGGCAAGAGTTGCAGAGAGTTGCGCGACAGCGATTTGACGTTCGCGTCCTTCTTCCCCGCGCGCGCGAGTAAGCGACTTTTCGATACTTTACAGCTAGAATATTGCGATATCGGGGCACATATTCGCATCGGCTATGCTGTATACGAGCAAAAAGGCGTAGGAAAAGTTTGAGGAACGATTCGATGCAGATTATGCGTGATCGTCGGGCTCAGGCAAATGGTGAGAGCGATGGAGAGAGAAACGGAAAACTTTTCACGCGAGTAAAGAGAATCGACCCAAGGGATTTGGAGGATCGATCGAGACCAAGCGTCAATCGCGGGAAAAAATCTCGCGTTACGGCCCTCGATCGCAATTCGATCGCAAACGTTTTATCATGAAAATCGTATCGCGCACGGAGAGATGGACAAAAGAGAATAAAAGAGTCGAGAAGCTGTGAAACTTTCGTTAATATACGATAGCTGTATCCTACGAACGGACTGCAGCTGCACGCGTGTGTCAATGACTTTTACATGTACGTCTACTCGGTGTCTTTCTCTCGCTCGCTCGCTCGCTCGCTCACCGCAGGCCCCGCGTATAGTTTATAAAAGCTGCACGCGAGGCCCGAGTCGGCCGCGAGCTGACTCACACGCGCGAGACATTCATTTATAATATATTATTATACGAGGCAGTGCATGAGGCGCACTGACGCAGCCACACGCATCCAGCATGACTTGCCACTCGTATATATACGCTATATAGCTCGTATTGCACGAGCTGTATATGGACTGGACTATATATGTATTATATAGCCAACGAGCCAGGCACACAATGCACTATATACTGCATGATGTATAGGCACGATGTAAACGCTATATAAAGCGTTTAATTCAGCAGCAGCAGCGATATAGACAACGAGAAAAACGTAAATTTAGCGTAGTAAGGGTCGGCCCTATGTCGAAGCTCCCCAACAATAACAATCGTGCAATGGGCTTGTTGGAAGCAGAGCCCCGACTTCGCTATGTGTGAATAATTTTGAACGGTCGCGAAATTAAACGCCTTATAGAGCAGTACCTATAGTCATACGAGAGAGAGAGAGAGGGACGCCAAGTGCATACATCTGCACACAGACTCGATGCAACTCCGCGTTTCGTATAGGTATAGGTGAGCAGTGCAGTACAGTACAAGCCGTGTAGGTGTGCAGTGGGCGCGCGCATGTGGACCCTGTATAATATATTATATATAAGTGTACTCAGCAGCGAGTAAAGTGCAGCACCTTGTGCCGCGACTGCATCGTCTCTCGCCGATTCTTTTCTATAGCCTTTAAATTTTAGCCTGATGATAAATCGCGAAACTGCACCTCTTTAATTTGTTTAACTAAACACATCCCCTTCCCTCGATTCGGTGTGAACCAGGAAGCTCGCGCGGCGTGTGCAGCTCGAAAAAATACACCAGCAGCTAGTGTTTTTCGAGCCACGTTTCGTTACCGCTGCCTTTGATAGCCGCACGCGTGTTATTATAGTACAGTGTGTGTAAGGGCTCTCTCGCGGCGTGCGCAGCACACCACCACGGCACTTTTTTTTTTTGCAGCAGCAGCTCGTATTCTCTTCTTTTTTATTATATTCGCTCGCGGCGCTGGCCGATTCCTCGAACACACGGCCACAAAGTCCGCCTCTGTACCTGTATAGGTATTACTCACCAGTGTACTACCTATTGTTGCCGTATACCTGTACGTATACAGCACGTCTTATACAGCATTTATATATCCTACCCGGAGCAGTAGGTACAGAGCTCTAAAGCCACTTTTATATACCCACCTACCTATATATAATAGTCAGCAGCAGCAGCAGAAAATATTCGTCCAGTGTTTCTCTCTCTTTGTGTGTGTCTGTCTCTCAGTGTAGTGTAGGTACCTATATATAATATAGAGCCGACGCCGTGTGCCGAGTTTCTGGCGTGTGTCGCGCTGCTGCTGCTGCTACACGAGAGCTGCTGCTATGCTGCTCTGCTGCTCCGATCCGACAGTTCGGTGTAGTACCCCAGTGCGTGTCAGTGTGCGTGCGTGAGTGCGTGCTTGCCTTGCCTTGCCTTGCCTGCCTGCCTGCCTGCCTCTGCCAGTGTGTGTATTAAATACCTATACATCTTGCCGAGAAATAAGAAAAAAAAAATCGCGCGCGAGTGAGAGAGAGAGAGAGAGAGAGGCCAAAGGGGAACGTTATACAGAAGAAAGGCAGCTGAGAATAAAGAAAGAGGATACATCATGCAACTGCCGAATATGCTTTTGTTAGTCAAGAACGTCTGGGACAAGACGCTGGGCAAATTTTCAGCTACCCAACAGGACAAGAAGCAACATCAACAGCAACAACCAGCTAACGCCAAGTGAGTGTCTATTTTCTCTTTGCGTTTCTCATAAACGCACGCATTAATTATCCACAAGTGCAATTTCTGTGCTGGCTGCGTCTGTCTGTGTTGTGTGTGTGTGTGTGTACGTACCTACGTATACGTCCAAGTGTGTGTGTATATGTGTGTTTGTGTGACTGTGAGCAGCGAGCATAGTGCATTTAAAAAGTGACAGTCTCTGGCACTCGACGCACAACGGACGCGCGACGTTTGTTGTCGATAGTAGTAGCAGTAGTAGTAGTAGTATACCCACTCCGATTTTTCTTTGTCTCTCTCTCTCGAGGCATGCTTATCGAACGACATTTACAGTCAGGACGTTCGAGTCATTTTTATTGCTTCGATCATTTTTATTTTACAACTTTCGATGCTCGCAAGGCTAACTCGCGTATTTTGACTTTATAATGCTAGAGAGAGACGCATAGCGGTGTGCGAGTTTTGGAGGTTAGGTACAAGGATTACTGCGCAAGGATCAATAGATTCTTTGATGAGAATTTACAATTTTAGCTTCTATCACGAATACCTAAATAAGTCTATGTTTCATTTGATTTTCCTGTTTTGGTCGACACTTGACTTCTATTACTTTCACAAGATAAATTTCTCTTTATCTATTTAAATGGATCTAATCTGTGTTTGTATCAAGAGTTCAAGTTCACAGTAACCAAATCATAATCATACTGATGACTTTTAATTTATGAATCTAATGTTTATTTTTAAACTTGATTGATGTTAAACTAACTTTTAAATTACTTCTCTCTGTTTATTCAATATGATAAAATGACATTTAAGTTCCACATATTTTTGTCTTATGAGGAAACCATATAAATTATGTTGTACAATTTATTGTCAGCCCTATTATCAAATCTCTATATTTATCTTTTAAAATTGTAAAGCAGAAACAATTTCAACACATGATTTTAAACAAAATAATTTTAAATTTTATAGTTCTTGAACCATCATCATGTGTTGTACTATTGACAAGATATTATTCAATATAACATTTTCTGGATTATAAGACCTCTGTAAATGAACTAAAATTGATGTTAAAATATTATTACTTTATTTTCATTTCAATGCATACTATTGGTTATCTTAAAAGATACTCTCAATTTAGCGTGGGATAATATTCATTCAGCTCCCCGATACAACTGTAAACATGTTCTTCGAATTCTAACTTTTTATCATTTACTTGAAAAATGAAGTACTTTAATGTCATGATTCTTAAAAAATCATCATCTTTTTATCTCTACTATATGTTTCATTCAATCTAAACATAGCACTAATGTCATGTTGATTACCAAACTCATTGCGATGAATAAAATAAATAAATAGACTCCCCTAGCATTTCTCATAACTATGCGCAGAGAAAATCTATCATGTGAAATTTTTCTCTGTAAAGTCAATAAAACAAAAACTAAGGGGGCAAGAAGAAGATTGATTTGAAGAACGTCTCGCTTTTTTGTGTACTGGCTTTACAGTTGAATACTGCTAAATCGAATTTTTATTCACACTTGCGCGCGCAATGATGTATGAAACATGTTCTGTGCTATAAATCGGTTATAAATCTGTGCATGTTAGCACTACAAAGTTCTTAGCTTGCAAACATTTTTATGTTAAAGATACGAGTTTAAAACCGACACCGTTAATACATAAAAACGACCGTTACCGAAATTTTTTTATTGACCTAAACAATCTTGGACTATTCACAGGTGTGCAGAGTCGAGCAGGTGTGCAGCCGAAGAGTTCATGGGAGTTGATCGTTTTTTTTTATCGTATGTATACGCAGACTTTATTTAGGATGGTAATCCAAAAAGAAAACACGAAAATATTTTGTATATGTCCTCGAACGCATTTTATCGATTGTTCGAATGAGAGCGTCGAAAGACCATTTATCTCTATCTTGGAGATATCCTAAACTCTCGCGCGTAGATTTTTGCTGCATCATCTCCTATACATCTTTTCACATTCACCTTTGAAAGTGGGAAAAATATGAGAACGGAAGAGGAAGCAAAAAGCAAAAGGCCAAAAAAACTTGTCCCCGACAAATCTCTTATAACGCTTGGAAATTGACGATCACTCGGGACCATTACTAATTCTCAAAGATACCGGAAGCCCGGATTTACATTAGCATGTTCAAACAGGTAGTCGAGAGACGAGCCACATGCTGCCGCCGCCACTTGGTTACTTACCAGGAGCGCAATAATTATTTTTCCTGCAAACTCGAGTGTAAAATCATACGATGAATATGCAACGAGTATGCGGGTGGAAACAATAACCGCAGCTCTTAATCAATGGTTGAGTACATATTATACACGCGCAGGTAGCAACGGTAAACAGGCCTTTATGCGCAATTATCGCCCGGCAGTGGCGGGGCAACGCGAGCACTCCGAAAATGAATGAATTATTGATTTTCCGCAATTTACATTAAGATGTTTTTTTTGTCCTTCCGTAATCTCTACACTCCGATCGGATAATAGGTCTTGAATGTCTTCGTCGTTATTGGACCTTTGTTTCTTTCTTTTTTTCTTTCTTATGCTCGACAGTTACTTTCACTTTGAGATGAGTCGGTATTGTGTGCTCGTGTCTAACGCGAACATCAGGTGTTGAATATATAAACAAGCACTCGATTACCCCGGTGTATATTCGAGCTCTATAGGTGAAAAAGTCATTCCGAATTATTATCAAGAGCACTCCGAGCTCTTTAAACTTTTTTTTTCTTTGTCTTCTAAAACTTTTCCTCGCTCGTGTTATTTTGTTCCTTGTATATATACACGCGTAGGATGCGTCTTGAATCCTAAGCGATTTTCTTCCGGTATTCTGTTTTTCTCTCTCTCTTGCGCGCGCTTTGCCACTATGCACAGACTAGACATTTTCACACCTATTTTGCTTTTATATTTAGAGCGTCGATATTCTTTTTTCCCCCGCGTTCCAGCAAGTATTGCTATGCAAATGGGTAGAAAAAATTTTATGAGAAGAGAGAAGATGTACCTCGAAAATTGAATGGAAAGGCAAAGGATCTTCATTTTCTTTTTTTTCTTAAGTAATACATCTGCTGCGCGCAGGTTCGTTCGGTTGATTCCGGATGAGTGAAGAAATGAGGCTCTCCTCTCTTTTTTTTTTGCTCCCATGGTGAAGTTATTTTGTGTGCGCGCTGGATACTCTTTTTGCTCTCGCGTCCTTCAGGAAGCCTCGAGGGGCTCTTTTTTTGTGCGGTATCGGTTTTCGAAAACAGAAGCCATTACGCTGCTGCTGCAGCACGAGCAGCGCACTGACTTGCATGTGCACTCAGCAACTTTTGCTGTATTCTCCGTCTTCTTATTCTCCTACTCTCTTTTAATACACTGATACGAGAAAAAATTCAGGCCATAATTTGACTTTTAACTCGGACAAAAATCTTTCCGATCGTAGTAATTTATGCACTGGATTTAAATTATCCATATGTTTTTCCTTTATGCGATTTCGCAACTTCTCGATCGTGTTCGAAACGGGTCAAAACAGTCTCACCTCGATAGAGGAATTTAATTTACAGTGTACGGCAAAAAGCATAGATTTACGGTGGCTGTGCATTTGATTGCTTTTTACCGCCTTTGTCTGTTGCGTTCACCATCCCCAGGTATAGAGAGAATACACTACGAACGCACTGTTTTTTTCTCTCCTTTTTTTCTTATTCTGAACCTGCCAAGAATTTATCGAATAATCGAGCGTATACGTTATTTCCCTCGCGCCACGCATTTCATTTTCACGGCAGCTGGCAATTGATTTTTATTCACCTCTCGTCCTTCTTCGGCTTCTCTAAGTCAATATCACAGGAACAAGATGAATAATTAGAAAATAATATTTCCAATAATTTACTCTTCGTTTTTCTCGATATAAATTGCGTTGCGTTGGTGTGTTTAACTTTTTTTTATCAAGTTCGTGGTGTCATATTCTGTGAGTTAAAGGCAACATTTTTAAATAGATTTTTTGCATTCTCTATTTTGATCATTTTTCGACTGTATAAAAAATTACTAAAGCGTTTGAATGTTAAGAATCAAAAGTATTCAATTTTATGAAAAAATTCTTAATGAAAATTAAGGAAACTACACCTTTAAAAAATTCCTCAAATTTGATGCGGATTCAACGTAAAAGATTATTTTACATGAAATTTCTGTTAAAAATGATTTCAGAAATATTGATTTATTTATTTACTTGAACTGTCTAAAAAGCGTATAAAAATGCAATATTATTGTATAAATTATTTTACGATATATAAATAACAAAGATTTAATTCTATACTGCATTAATTACCCAAAAAATGTATGGAGATTGAACCGTAATTATTGCAAGTTCTCACCACTAGATGGCAAGTACAAATTTTTCGATAAACTTGCAAGTGGCAAAGTAAAAATTATTCTATAAGTCAAATGCAAAAATTAACGAGTTCAGATGTTCTCATCATTTTCTTAACGTACAAGGTGGCTGATTATCCGACTTTTGAAGCACACATTTAGGATGAATAAAACTGTCTCCCATTTGTATATAATTATTTCTGGAAGAAATTTGATTTTTTCCCCGTCAATTTCAAACGTAGCTCAAATTTGAATGCACTCCCACATAAGCCAGTGTCAATTTTCGAGTCTCTGAACTTTTTTTTCTGGAGATTTTGATTGGTCGAGCGTTGTACTATTGTTTCCACATTAATTTAAATATTTTAACATGAATTCGAATTTATTTACCTGAAATAAACGTCCTTCACTTTTACATTACTGTTAAAATATAAATATTTTTTACTGTGCACATTTTGAAATTTTCATTTCTGCTCTTTCTGCATTCGCTTCTAAGGGGCTCTAGAAGGCACACCCAAGGGGGGTGCTTTATTTACTTATCCGTTTAAATATTAAACTAGCGCCCGCGCGAGAGAATAGTAATTTACGACGTTGGCTTATCTACCTTTCTCTCGCTCCGCCGTATCGGTGCTTTATAACGTGAGCACGCGGCTGCGTCTTCTTATCCTGGCTTTTGTTGCTATTCAAAGATAAAATGCCGTTTCGAGCGTGCACATGTGTGTATGTGTGCATAAGATGCGAGTACGGAGGTGGTATATATATAAGCAAAAAAGATATCCCATAAAAACGCAGACTTTTGAATTTGGGCTTTCGTCCTTTTTTTTTCTGTTGCAGAATGGCCGCGGCGTCGAATAATGCAACTGCAACGTCGCCAATAACGTCGGTGACAGGTCAGACGGTGCCAACGACAACGACGACGACGATGACGCCCACGTTGAATGTAACAGCGACAGCCGCCGATACGACAACGGCAGCCACGGCAGCGTCGCAGGCGGCGGCGGTAGCAGCAGCAGCAGCAGCAGCAAATGTTACCGCTTCTAAAAGGAGTTGCTGGAGACAAAGAACTGTACATTTCACCATTTTTTTAGCTGTATTCTCCACGATACTCACTCTCCTTTGGGTTTACACGCTGACATCCGAATTGAGGTAAATGTGTACAAAAGAAAAAGATATAGACCGTGGAAATTGTATTTTTGCTTCATCTCTCGCGGATGTCGATACATCGCTCGATTGTGTACACACGAAAATGACAATGACAATGAGAAGGAGGAGGAGGAGGAGGAGGACAAAAAGAGATAAAAACTCGAGGAGACTCCTTTTTCCTCCGCACAGAATCGCGTCTTGGACTTTTCATCTCTCGTTTTCGTCGTTGTCGTCTCGTTATATGGCTTTTGTTGCGCGCGCGTCGCGCTTCGCACTCGATATCGCGACGCTTTTTTCTTTGAACTGGCCCTATTATACAGCCGAAAAAAGTCATCCCTGTGATGTTTAGACGATAAAGACTGACACAGAACTATACACGGCCAGTCGTGCATTAAAAAAGAAAGAAAATAAAGAAAAGAGTCGACCTGGATCTCGTTACGTCTACACGACTAATTTCAATAATGAGCTCGTGAAAATTATTTACGACGTAAGTAATAAAGCACAGGCGCGTTAAACAAGACATAGCTCGGGCGAATATATCCCTCTCTCTCTCTTTCTCTTTTGTCTTCGGGAGCTGGGCCGAGGCCTTTTGTTATCTTACCTCGGAGCTGTTACACTCGCTCGCGAGAGAGAGAGAGAGAGATGAAAAGGAGATGATGACACGTTTTCGCATATATTATATGCCGGTATAATGCTGCAGCCTATCGTGCATAAAGGGTTTTGTTTGCGGTGCCGCTGCTGCAGCACAGAAGCTGCACAGCTACCCACCGTCCTCTGCGGTGGCGGCGGGAGACGTGATGCGAGCGAGTTCATTGATGTTACGCCGTGACTGCGCTGAAAACATTGCCCTTTTGTTTTTCCCTAGTCTCCCCGCTGCCCCCCTCCCTCGCAGAGTCACTTGACCCAAAGTTTTACTTTCTCATTAAAGTTGACAAATTCTTTCTTTCTTCCTTTTCTGCCGTGGCTCTCGCGGTTATATTCTCCCGGCTACGCTTCCAGCATAAATCTGAAAGAACCCAAGTTTTAAGCTCTCATTTGCGCCCGCGCGAATATCATAATTTCAAGTTTAAGTACTCGCTTGTACGTAATGCTCGTGGATGCGACTCTGCTGGCTCGAGCTCGGGTTAATCCCAAAACAGGCAAGGATGCGCAATAAATTAGTGTTACGGGACTATACCGTATACTGTAATATATCGAAATTGTAATTTGAGATCTGTCCGCTGCATCGCTTTCAATTTTTTTTTTTTTTTTTTGCACCAGTATAGATTCGAATAATGCACGAATGAATAACGCGTAAAAAAACATCATTCTTCGCGCGCATCAAATCGAATCGGCTTGAGGAAATAAAAAGGCAAAGCGAACCGTAAACAATATCAAAACAATCGATCAAACTTTATCAAGCTAACAGCCGGACAACAAAAAAATAATCAAACGCGACTCGCTCGGATACGTTGTGGTTTTTTTTTGCACCGACGAGAACCAAATGAAAACAATGCCGCATGGGGGTGTCCAGAAGTCACGTACAATCGAAAAAAGCTTTCCATCGATACATACATACAAAGTCATTGTGTCAAACTCGCGCAAAAAAACGAGTCCTCACGCCTCGATAAGCCACCCGTGAGAGAGCGAGAGGAGAGAAAGCAGAGCTTAATGTATAAAGTAGAAATAGATAAATGGTCTCGTACGGAAGGCGAGGGAGACACACCGGAATTAGAGTCTTTGATAAGTCGAGCTGAATCTCGCGGAGCTCGAGATGATCAATGTCTTCCTTCCTCTCGCTCTGTCCACGTCGAATTAGAGCTCGAAACGTTTCTTCCCACCTTAATGATCGATGTTACCTTGTCCTCGATGTCGCAGGAGGAAAGCCTTCGACGTCAACATGATGCAGGTGTACAATCTCAATCTGTCCATGGACAATCCTGAATTGGTGCGTTACATCCGAGACATGCAGATGAAAATGCCGTCGGGCCACGAGCCCCTCAACGCCACCGAGCCGAGCGACGAGGAGCAGTTCATCGTCGCCCAATTGCAGGGCAAGCGAGCCGGTGTTTACTTCGAGTACATCAGCCGGGTAAGCTAGCTGTAGCTATAATGGTGTTAGTAGTAACGAAAATGAAAACTGAAAAAAGTTGACGCGTCGCCGCGACGAGCTGAATCGATGGCGCGCGTGGCGCAGCGGGCGAGCTTTGACGCGCGCGTCGTCCTCGTCGTTACGTACGCCTAATGCATGATTTATGTACCTATGGCATCGATGTCGACGCGGCGGGGGAGGCAGAAAAATACTCGTTCGCTGGATTTATTGCTATTTTGCCAGAATTTATCGCGACAAATTAAACGTCCGATCGATGGATTTATTTTGCATGCGTATACCGCGTGGCGTATTTCTGATCAACTGATTTTTTATTCGATTTAAATTTCAAATTTTTTTCTACCGCTGCTAGAACTTTAGTACGGAATGCCCGATGCTCGCTCTCTTCATTATTCAAATTAAAAAAATTCTGCACAAAAGTTTTTGCCCAAAAAAAAAAAAAAAAAAAAATATAAGGACAGAGAGATAAAACAAAGAACGTACGGATTGCGCAATTTGTCGCGAACAAAAATGCACCATGAATTTTCATGGCATACCAAAGAAAAGATTGTTATAGGGTCGCGTTCGCGAAATTTACATCGAAGCGCGCCTCCGCCATGAACTTCTCAAACTTATGCGCAGAAAGTTGAATAGTAAAATATTTCGCGAGTCCTGCTAGAAGATATTTTTTTCTTCTTCTACATCCCGCCCGAAACTCGCCTCGGCTCGCACAAAAGATTTTTTCGCTCTCGCAATCGAGCGTTCGCGATACAAAGTTTTTTAAGCGCGTTATCTCGCCTCGTATATTTTCGCGCGCTCGCGCTACATTCATCAGCCAGCGAGCGTTGCGAACGAGTCCGCGTCCAACGGGGTCGACTGAATTAATTCAAGCTCTCGCCTGCTGCACCGTGTGCCACAAGTGCGCGCAGTTTATAACGAAGAAGAAAAAGAGTATTAATCGTGGCGCCCGACCTGTGTTTTGTGTGTGATCGCCGACAGATTGGTGCTCCTTCGACCACGGCCTGGCTGGAACGGGAGCTTGGATGGCGAGGCGTGCAGATCTTGACGGACCCACGCAGCTTCTTCGACGCCTGCCGTAGCAGTCGCAATCCCAAGACGCGGATCCTGCGATCCTGCCTCAGCTCCGATGGCCAGACCAAAGAGGTGAGTGCGAAGACGACTCGGCGACTCGAGCTCGCAAAGACCCGGGCGAATGATTAAAGAATTCATCAGCCGAGACTTTATCATTTTCAAGAGCTTTGAGCGAGTGAGAGATGATTAGTTTTCTTACGCACGACGCTCTCTATATATCTTTCCTCAAAGAGTGCATAAAGCTCGACCTTTTTTCATCTCTCACTTCGCTCTTACACACGGATTTATATATATACTATCTACTTTTTAGTCGATGTTAAAGCTAACTCGAAGAGAGAGAGAGAGAAACGCACTCTCGGCCGAGGAAAGAAAGCACATTTTAAAGAAAATTAAACTTCAATTATGAATTTCTCAAGATCTTTTCACTTTGATTATTATTCTTGCGTTGAAAGGATTTGAAAAACTGCTCCGTGCGATTTTTTGCGATATTACATTTTTAATCAAGTTTCCCTATTATTTACGAATTATAAATTTAAAGCTGGTTATAGCATCGATGTATACAAGCTGGCAGGGGAGTACAGTAGTCGTTTTCGGCAGCGCAAAAAGATGGCTTCTCTTTATTCCGCGAGAAAAAAGTGCTCTCTCTCTCTCTCTCTCTCTCAGGCAGGATCATCTATCATGCATACAGAATATATACCTCGGTTCGAATATAATATATGCCACACACACAAGCTCACCACAAGGCGCTCGTCCGCGCACGTCGTTATGATTTACAGATAGCGTATCACCAGGAGCAGGACGTGCAAGTGCAGAAGCTCGGCGAGAGCCCCAACAGTCTGGTACTGTTCAAGGAGACCATGGTGGCGCCCAGGCTCATCTGCTTCTCCCTGTACTCGGTGATGCTGGCCTACAACACGACGAGCCTCGATTATCTCAGCCTCGACATCACTTCCGAGGTGCAGGACGAACTGGTACGTAGTTTAGCTCTAGCTCTCTCTCTTTCTCTCTCTCTTACTCGCTGCCGATTATACATTTCGCGCATAATAATAATATCATAGTTTATATTCGCGCGCCGCACAGCTGTGGGAACGTTTTGATAATTCGCTTAGTCCACGACTCGCGCGCGCGCGGCCCTAGAGTCGTGCAGCTGCAGCGCTCGGCGAGGAGGATTATTTACACCGACGACGCGCGCTGTGTACTTTGGGAAATTTACGGGGGAATTCTCGACCGTGCCCTCTCGCGAGCGAGTGAGAGAGAGAGAGAGAGAGATCCCATTAGCCCGATGAAACTGTAAGAGTTGAGCGCAAGCTCCCGAGCTCGTAAACGTTGTGATTCATTCGGAATATTTGAGCTTGCAAGCTCTCGCTCTCTCGTAAGTTGAACGCGAATTATCGTCCGGATCTCGGTCGCGAAATTCCGCTTTAGTTTTTCTCTACCAATTAAACGGCAAGTAGAGTGTCTACTGTTATATCTCGCGCTCGCTCGCGTCCATTACCGAGAAATCATGTACACGCGGCGCCTCCGCGGTGTAATGCAGTGTCCGAAATGGACTTTAATAACGAGCACTGCTCTATACTCTGCTCTGGCTCTAGTAGCCGAGTGCACAGCTTAAATGCAACAAAGCCGTATTCCGTGCACGTCTGAGCTAGCTAGCCAAGTTAAACTCTCCGATGCAAAATACGCGAGGGGCCAATGTCGATGTCGTTTTATGCTCGAGCCCCGCAAGCGCACAATGCCTGGCCTGTGCTGTATATATGTATCTCTCTCTTGCGATGCGGCGCGGCGCGAGAAGCCCATCAAAATCGAATTACATCGTTAAAGTTGCACATACATGTGTAATGCCGTCGTCTTCGTCGTCGTCGTCATCGTCATCGCAGTCGCGAGAGGATAGCTATATTCTTCTCTGTCTCTGTCTCTCTCTCTCTATATATATGTGTATAATGTCGATGGCCGGCACTACGAGAGCTTGTTGTGTTGTGTAATTGCAGGTGCTGGACACAATTCCGTGGGACGTGATAAGGATAGAAGTGCTGGCGATTCACTGGGCGAGCCATCACAGCGAGATGGAAACACGTAATATCGTCGACAAACTAGCCGGGCACAACTACAAGCTCGTCAAGAGTCTCTCGACGGGCAAGCTAGTCTTCGTTTACAACCGACGTCTCAAAATATGAGCCCGAGGCGGCGTCGTTCGCAGCAAAGGCCTCGCAGCGCCAGCCCGAACAAGCAGCGGCTACACTAACCATCGACACCGCATTGTTGTTGTTCTAAATTAATAGCTTATAAGCATGGCTCTTATCCCGCGTATACGCCTACACCGGTACACCACACCCACACTGACAGCCAATGTAACACACACACACAGACACACATACACATCCACATCCCTGAACTACTTTTCCCTTTTGAACAAAGGAGGGAAAGATCTCTGCCTCTGAAGTTTCAACTTACTTGGCCTAACTTTACGAGATACTTACCCACTCAAAAGAGAGATAGATACTTCGCGAAGATAAATAATTAAATGAAGCTGCCAAGTTTTGGACTCGTATTAGAGCCGTGTCCTGCTTACATCGGCATTACCTGCTGCGCGCACCTGCTTCTACCCACTCGACTCCTCGTACATATAGATACGTACAATTAAAAATAGCTCAAACGCGCTTGTGTGTTTTTCGCGTGGGTGTGTGTATGTGTGTGTGTGTTTGCAGTTTGCACGCGCGCGTCCGTGCCGTCGTGTACGCGTTATACACATCATCTTTTTTCGCTAGAAAATTTTTTTTTACAAAATGCGCGCATTTGGCTGCTTTTGTACTCGAGATTTACGATGCATAATGTCGAAATAAACGTACGTAATTATACATGTAATTATAGATGAATTATGCTGCTTTTGTACATACACATTCAATGAATGTTGGACTCTTCGATAAATTGTACATAATAGTAATTGTATTATTAACAACAAAAAGTTGTAACATTAATCGTGTAAAAAAAGCTCTCCAGCTTGCGTTTTACAAAAAGTTTTATAAAATACTCCGATAATTTTGCGTAGTAATAACTATCCCATTTCATATTTACGCCTTTTTTATATTTTTTGTCTTTTTCGTATATTTTCTAGAGTTTTTAAACATTACAATTCGACAAACACATGCCCTCTGTAAATTTCCATGAATCACTTCATTCCGATCGTCGTACGTAGAATAATAGTAACTTGCAGAGGAAAACTGTTGTGTGCATAATGTATGGTTGTGAACGGCTTTTGTATGAAAGATGCAACGAGTGGCTGATGATTCGTGAATTTAAATAAATTTTATCATATAAATAAGCAAGTTACTATAATACCTTGACTAATGGGCCTTACTAGATCTGTAAGAAAGACGGTTATCTCGAGTAGAAAATTTCAAAACGATAATATTAAGATTACAGCTACTGTAGATAGTACTGAGAAAATAATTGATACATCTTAAAGTAAAGATTTGTGTATTTATACGTCCATAGAAATGGAAAATAATCGACTGATCTTTATAACGATTGATTTTTCAAGAAGCGAAGTTAATGTTACAGGTTTTTGTAGGCGTGGAAGTTTAAAAAGTATCAAAAAGCACGAACAAATTATAAATAAATAGTTTTAAATATTACAAATATAAGCATAACTGTTAAACATGAAAAAATTATGAAGTTATTTCATTCGTAGATCGATACTGATAAAAATCAAGTGCTGAACTATTTTGAGCCAAAATAGTTCCTAACAATTTTCATATAAGTTTGTTATAGTGTTACAACTGTACTCTTGTATTATTAAACACAGCACCACTGCGATTTACTATGAAAAAAACTTGTTAAAAGCTACTTACTCGCTAAGGTTTAGAAATCTTTTGAGATGATAAAAAAATGTTATACTCGCTAGTGTAATGGTAGCAAATAGTATTTTCTCGACTACTGGCACAATTGAGTAATATTTAAGATGAGAAATCTATATCACAGACAATGAAATTATCCATAGCATTTGTAGATTTATGATTTTTGCATTTTTTTATATATAATACAGATCGTGATTAATGATTGCATTATACATGAGAAAAACATTACTTGTAGATTCGTGATTTTCAAGCAAAAAATAATAAATCCTTATATTTGTAAAAAATTGAAGTTTTAATTTGAATATCTGCTGTCTCCTACATTTTTCTTTCCTTATAAACCAGACGTTGTTAAGCTGCTAAAAGACGCTGCGAATTTATATTCATTCGGAAGCTCGCGTTTCGAAGGTAGCACTTTTGGATCGAAATTGGTATTCTATGAAAACGTGATCTGCCTTTACTATTTCCGCGAACAAGACACTTTATTTTCCAGCTCGGATATATCTCGGAGACTCGCAAGTCGAATAGGCGCGCAGAAATGCGAATACGAAGTCGGTTTCATTATTGAAAATTATGGATTGAACTTCTAATTGAATGAAATTTTCTATTCCGCATAATTTCCTGCACTCTATATTAAAATAAATTACGAGCGACTGGAAATAGTCAAGAATTTTATTTACGTTTCGGAGAAAAAGACGGCAAATTAAAAATCGTTTTATTAAATAAATGAAAAAGTCAACTCTTAATAAGAACGTGTCGAATTTTAAAAAAAATTGGTCAAAGCTCCGACGAAGCCTGTGCACTTCACCTAAATTGAAAGTGTACTTCATCCGGAAAAAAGCGGACTGGGTGGGGACAAAAGTTGCAAACTATATACCTTAGCAAGTTCATAAATTTTCCCTCGTAAAAAAAACGAGAAGAGAAATGTAAGAAAATTATCGGAACAAAAAACGTTTCGCGCTGGCTACACTCGCGACTTTCACACTCTCTCGCCTTATCTCGAAACTTTATCAATTAAATAATACAAAAAAAAAAAGGTCGACGCCTTTATTCGCATATACATGTGCGCGCGAGCGAGCGAGCGAATTATCTAATTTACACAGCAAGTTTATGTGCGCGAGAGAGAAAAGTTGGCTTATCAGAAAGTCAAATACGTGTATATACCGATCGCAAGATCGACAAAACAAAATTTTTTTCGCTGAAAATACTTGCAAACAATGTGTGAGAACGAGGCGCAGCACTAGATCGACGCGTGCGCGCGAAAAAAAAGTATATTTCAGATTTACCCCGTTCAGTTCTTTTTTCTTGTTTTACGGCTCGTCCTTATATTTACTTCGCTAAGAAATTTTCTCTACTAAAACGACCGGCGCTTGGGCAAAGATTTTTCTTTTACTCTTTTCTGCAGCAGCAGCAGCAGCAGCATAAGCAGCTGCAGTACGAGCAACACGAGAGTTGTCAAAATAATGTTGAATACATTTTACGCATAAAGTACATTTCTCTCGTCGTATAATGTATAAAGTGGAATATACGCTGGCAGTAAAAGCGCCCAGGAAAGTAGTAGAAGTCGGCGGTGGTGGTAGTCAAAAGTGCTAGTCCACCCAGCCCAGCCCCTCCCCCTACACTTGCTATATATATATACATACATAGTACATACGTAACACGCGCGGCGCGGCAGAGAGTTAAAGCACTCGAGCGAATACTCTTCTTATACGGACAATTTAATCGCAAAGAAAGCAAAATTCCGCAGGGTGCAGTCCCTGTAATATTACACGAGTCAAAGAGCCCGCTCGTGCGCGCGCTGCTGTAAAAATGAGGAATGGACTTGAAATAAGAGGAAAAAGGGATGATAAAAAGAGAAGAAAAGTATAAAATAAAATAAAATAAAAGTAAAAAATTTGAGTGGCACACCGGTGGCCCGGTCACCGAAACACAAAGTCGCCGTCGTCGTCTTCTTCCATTTTTTTTATTTGTACTCGCGGCTACATAAGCGCCCGAGGCGGCCGTCGCCGCTCGTATGCGCGCCACGCAGATAAACTGTCGTCGCGCTGTCGTCCGCAAGATCGAAGATAATTACATTTTAGATAAAAAAAAGAGAGTCTCGAGCGCGCGGCGACGGCATATACCGGAGTATACCGTGTACGTACGTATGTATGTACGTACGTGCGTGCGCGCTGCTGCTACCGTGTGTATATATTCGTATATACGCGCGCGGGCGGGAGTCGGGGGAGCATCGAACAACATTTTACCTGGCCGCGAGCATTTAGTAAGCCACCGTTGCTAAAATGTCGAGCATCTCGCCGAGCACTCGCAGTAGTACGAACATGTTTCGCTCGGACTCGTGAACAGTTTCCTTTTTTTCTCTCTCTCTATCTCTCTATCTCTCCTTTTTTCCGTTGCTGCTGCTGCTGCCTCCTCCTCTCCGTTTCCCTTGGCCCATTTCGCCCAGCGCTGTACGTTTAAAAGTCGGCGAGCTTTTTCCGAGTGAAAAGCTTTTCTTGCTGCTGCTAGCCCCGGCTGGCTGGTAAGCTCGCGAGTGTGTCTGTGCAAAATTAGCTGAGCAAAGGGACGTTGCCGCCACCGCCGACGACGACGACGACGACGCTCCATAGCTAGCGCGCGAGCAAGAATGGAAGCGCAGGGAATGCTAAGTGGAGCGCCTGCGAGGCAGCAGAAAGGAAAAAAGCTCTGGCAGTATCTCGCAGCTGCTTCTGGTAAAATTCGATTTGCTTTTGATTTTCCCCCTTTTCTTCTTTTGTCCCGGCACGCGCGCGCGCGCATACGAGCACGACGATGTTTTCCAAAAATTGTGCACCGTCTGTCGGAGACGTATTAATGCGGTTATGAATCGTGCAAATAAAAGGGTGCGCGTGAAACGCCGAGGAAAAATACACTCGCGTGCGCGTTCTTTTTTTTTTTGCGTGCACCTAACACGCCTGCATTCACTGAAAAAGTTTCATAATCCGCGCGCGCGCGCACACAGTTGTGTATACACACGATAAAAGCGTGTCTATGGTTTTTACTTCGTTCCTTCTTTCGCTCGCTCGCCTTTTTTTTTCAACAAACTTCCGACTCTTTTATGCAGCTTTTTACGAGTGTGTAGCTGCTGCTGCACACATCGAGAAGGTAAAAGCATCGTTTGTATTATTTCACCGCGATTCTTGCATTTGTCCTAAGGACCAGCGAGAGAAGAAAAAAATCCCTTTTTCTTCCTTCGTAGTTAGGAGTCCCTAAAATATCGCCACGAAAAATTTAAATCAAGCTGAAACGTATAAAGGAAAAAGTTCAATAGCGGGCATTAAAGTTTTTTATGCTCGAAGGATATATATTATATCTTATTCCATTCTTTTTACTCGACTACTCGCTCCTTCTTTTTATACGACTCGCAGGATGCGCGCACTTTCATTCCAGGACGCCTTGCAAGTATCACTATACATAGTACATCTACACCAATGGGAAAAAAAGTAAAATCAAGAGCATTTCGCGTTTATGTTTCTCGCTTTTAATAGTATAAAACTCAAGATTGATGCGAGCTACTCCTGCTGTGCCCGTAAGGGAAGTTCCTGCTTTTCGAGTGGTTCTCTCTCTCTCTCTCTCTCTCATTCTTTTGAATTTAATTCGAGATTTTTATTACCATTTGCGAAATACTTGCGCGTGACGTAATGCCGCTCTCGGGAATAGACACACACACACCGCAGGAGCGCAATAAAAAATATCAATTATAGCCAAGCGACGTATTATTATTTGTTTTTCCAATATTATACATTGTTGCAATTTTTGCAGTGCAAAAATATAATATAATAATTGTTTACAGCACGCGGAAGTGTCCGATTAGCCGCGAGCGGTTCACATTGCGCGGAATTTGACGAACGCGCCTGACTTATGACAACACGTAATGATCGTCGAACAATTTGCACGGCGCTTCGGGCGGATCGATTCTCCGGAAAGAGGAAAAAATTATATCTCCGTCGCTCTGTCTCTCTGAGCCGATCACGTGCGCTATCACACACGGCTTTAACGAGTTTAGAATTTTTTTTAATGAAAACATCTCCATGTGGGGCTGCGATAAGAGCCGCGCGCGGTGTATTTGCTCGGTTCGCTATAAAATCAATCGCGGGTATATCCCCCCGATTCTTAATCAGCTCCACTTGCATTGTTTGCCCTTTTGTCGGGCTCTGTCAACATGTGCACGTACGGATCGACACGAGGCGGACAATTGTTTTGTTGGCCGACTTTCTTTTACTTCGAGGCGCGTACTTAGAGGAGCTGCGGGTCGGATCGCATCGACTGTTTTATCGGGGCATTTAACGACGATAGAAACTTTCTTCGCTAAAAATAGCATCCGAGCAAGAGCAGAGATTATCGAAGTAGTGGTCAGAAAAAATATCCGATAACGAAAGAAAGTAGTCCAAAAGCGAGATTACCATCTCTAATCGATTCGATGGTTTTTTTTTTCTTTTTTTTTAATCGAAGCACTCGAAATCGTCACGTATGCCCAAACTCGAAATGCCGGACAAAATCGACGCGACGCCTGATATTTTCGTCGCGTATAGTCGGTACTCGATCGACAAAATAAAAACAAACACTCAGCCGAGCTCGAGTGCTCAATTTTGATTCCGAAAAATGTTTGTGCGATAACAGCCTGTCTGCTGTCGATCGGCGTGGGCACGGGCCTGGCGTGGTCGGCCCCCATGGAGAAGTACCTCGAGTCCGAGGACTCACACATCGCCCGCATGACCGAGGAGGAGTTCTCGTGGACGTCGTCGCTGCTGGCGATCGGCGCGATGGTCGGCGCCCTGCCCACCGGCGCCCTGGCCGACGCCCTCGGCCGCAAGCGAGTCCTGCTCGCGCTCGCGCTGCCCTTCCTGCTGTCCTGGGGCCTGATCCTCGTCGCCAATGCCGCCTGGATGCTCAACGCGGCTCGGCTGATCGTCGGCGTGGCCATCGGCTCGGCCTGCGTACTGGTGCCGACCTACCTGTCGGAGATAGCCGAGGACGAGGTCAGGGGCACACTGGGCGCGTTGTTTCAGTTCTTCCTCACGGTCGGCATCGTCTACGGCTTCTGCCTCGGGGCTTACCTCGACTATTACGGATTAGCCGTGGGCTGCGCCGTCGTAGTGATCCTCTTCGTGGCGACCTTCGTCGCGATGCCCGAGTCTCCGGCTTGGCTCGTGGTACGTTTTCCAATATCAATCGTTTCACCCTCCTCCGTGCATAATGTAATCGGCTAATCCGAGCGAAAATCCATTCCGTAGAGCAAAGGCCAAAAGTCGGAGGCGATGAAAGCCCTGCAGAGGCTGCGCGGCGACAGTTACGACGTCAGAGCCGAGCTCTCGCAGCTACAAAAGGAAGCCGAGGAGAAGGGCAGCAGGCGCAGCTCCGTCTTCGATCTCGTCAGGCTGGAGGTGCCGCGCAAAGCTCTCGTCATCTGCCTGTTTGGCATGATATTCCAGCAGCTGTCTGGCATCAATGCCGTGATTTTCTACGCGGAGGGTATCTTCAAGGCGGCGGGTAGCAAGATCGATCCCAAGCTCAGCATGATTCTCGTTTCCTCTGTTCAGGTATGGATTTCTCATTTATTATAATAATAATAATAAAAGTACGAAGAGTGATGATTCGTTTTATTTCGTCAGTGTGGGATGGCATTGGTAGCAGCGGGAATAGTCGAGAAGGCTGGCCGAAAACTCATGCTCATCTTCTCCGCGGCAGTGATGTCTTGCTCTCTAACGGCCATCGGTGTGTACTTCAAGCTGAAAGACGAGGAGGTCGATGTGTCGACTCTTGGCTGGCTGCCCCTCGCCTCCCTCGTCATCTTCATGATCGCCTTCTCTTTGGGGTAAGTTTTCGTCGCACGATCGTCGCCCACGTAATATTTCTCAAATTCTGTAACTCATTTTTATCTTTGTCCGTAGAATGGGCCCGATCCCTTGGATGCTGACCGGCGAGATGTTCGACGTCGAGATGAAGGGCAACGCCTCGAGTCTGGCGGTCATGCTCAACTGGTTCCTGGTCTTTCTCGTGACCAAGACGTTCCCCGCCATGGCCGAGGCCCTGGGCAAGGGGGGCGCCTTCTGGTTCTTCGCCGCGGTCATGGCGTTCGCCGCGATTTACTCGCACGTCTGCCTGGTTGAGACCAAGGGCAAAAGCATCCAAGAGGTGCAAGACGCCTTGGCGGGCAAAAAGCCGTCGCCGTCCGTCGTCGAAAAGTTTTGAGTCTCTCTCTCTGCTTTTTTTTATATCGAATTGCGCGCACTTTCACGATCCATGAGAGTTATATTGTAAGAGTATTATTACTGATAAATACCGATCTTTTTTTTGTTTGTCTATTTTGTACAAAAAAAAAAATCTCGCCAGCACTTTTATTTCCTGTTATGTCACTGCGCTCCGTTATCTCGGATATGCTTTTTATCAATATTAGTTTACAAACGAACGTGTAAAAAAAAAAATACATCGATTGAAATAATACGCCGAGATAGCAACTGCCACTGTGCGTCGATCGACAATTTCGCGCGAAATAAAAAAAACGAAAGAAAACTCGTCATCAGCGCATATTCGAAGAAATTACATGATCGAATGATCGAAAATACATTTTTTACAAGACGCAGCTAGCAGTGCGTCTGTGGCGCGAAGGTGACAATAGTGGCTACACGCAAGTTTTTCCAATTATCCAAGCCAACATTCCAGAGACGATCTCTCGGTCGCGGTGTATGATATGCAAATTCATAGACATCAAGCGCTGAAATGCGTTAGTGTATCGCAAGACGCTCGGCAAATAGCTCGTGTAATAGCCACTACCGCTGCTGCTGCTGGAGTAGAGCACCGAACGGCAACTCTTTAATAGTCAAAGCGTTTCCTCCTCTCGATATATCGCGCGCATAAACGAGACGAGACGACGACGACGACGTGTCGACGAGGCGCGCAAACCGTTTGACCTATACCAACCGCCTCGAAATCGTCGTCGAATCGCGCTAAGTGCATCAATTACACGGTGAGTGACACACGTAGTAGTAGTAGCCACCGACGCGACACGACACGCAAATTTTCTCGTTGAGATGTAAGACAGAAATAAAAAAGAAATAGTTACATCGATGTAATAAGCGTGAGAAATCGTAGCCCTGAGTCGTGGCTTCAAGGATAAAAAAAAATGGATTCGGTGTAACATCGGTAATATAAATTATTTACAATATAATTCGCTGCTAGCTATAATCGATGCTCGGTTTATTCGACGAAATCACGAAGCGAGCATAATAATTTCATCACACCTGATTCACGAAGAGCTCGAGGATCGGACGACACGGCGCGGTGACGCGAGAATGTCATGCATCCGCAACATGTTCGACACCTTATAACGTTATATTTTTCTAACTTTCTTTGCCGATCGCTATCGTCGCACGAGACTTTTTTCGTCGAGAACGCGTACGAAGCGCGAATCGTGCGCAGCACAAGCACGATAAAAGAACTTGGCCTGACTATGATGTACATATATATACGTAACGATCATCGGCGAGCAGCGCAGCGATTCATCGCAAAAGGATTTTTTCTTCGCTGTCAATATTGATAAACGCTACTTCACTTTGTTGATCCGGTATATACACAATTGCCGCAGAGTCAAAACGACGACGAGGACTCGATCGCGCCGTTGCTGACCGAGTTTTAGTTGGCAGCAGTTCGATCTCTATGTTGTACTTTATACCTGCGCTGTGGCAAGATAATCGCGACGTCGCACTGAATGCTATCTATACGACTCGAGATACATATACGTCGATCGGAAATAACGTCGTCGTCGTCGCGCTAACGTGGAAAAAAAATCATACTGGCTCAATTACCGCAGCGGTCAAAGTCAATATTTGGATTCTTCTTTTCATCGCGTGTGCGTATGATATACGTCGATGAGCTTTTGCGATTTGACTGGGTGCCTGAGCAAATGCCTGCATATACCGACTAGACGCCGCCGACTCGAGTGCACGATCGCGCCTCGTCAAACATTCTGAAAAGCCATTGAAATTTTTCGACGCGCCCATTGTTAGCCTCTCTTTCCATCTCGATCTCGTGTTCACTGATTTCGCCCGCGCGCATACACGGACGAGAATTAATTTTGACTTTCGATCGAACTCGCCCGCGGCCGAGCACTCCTATATACACTATCTATATGGTACATGTACATATGCACACGCGGCGGCCGATCGATATAATTTTTCGAACTATGAGTACGCGGCGCCATTATTATCGTCGTTGCTTGAGTTTCCCAACGCGAGAGCTGATTTCTCAAGGACATTCTCGTCGCGTACTAGATGTCTAATGACGTAGAGAGCTCGCTCGCTTGTTTCTTGGTGTGTGTGTGTGTGTGTGTGTATGTGTGTGGCGTACAATCCTATATAATCTGGATACTTTTTGTGCAACAAATTAGTTTGATAAAACTGGCGTCACGTGTTATTTACTCGAGCAGAATGACTTCCGTTTGTTTTTCGCTCGGACGGCGTACCTATAATATACGTTGTACACAGCAGCAGTAGCAGCAGCAGCAGCATACCGATACACGCGCAATAAAACATTCCGTTAAAAAGTTTGGGGGTCTCCCTGACTTTGTTGGGGTATAAAAGTTGCGCACCACCCCCCCACGCCAGCGGCTCTACGTATATAACACAAAAGCTAATTAAATTAACTTTTATTTAACTTCCATGTATTAATATTACGCTCGCGTATGAACTTGGCGGGCCGGGGGCGGGGAAATTCGACTAATGGAAGTTGCTTGATTTGATGTGTATAAGCGCCGAGGATTTTCTCTTGGCTGTACGTACGTGTCTGCTGCTGCACGAGCGACGAAAAGTTAGGTTTTTTTTCCACTCTCTTTTTTAAATTGACTCATTATCTAGATGGGAAAAAATGGTACGAGCTGCAGTTGAGCTGTCCGCGCGAGAGACGACGAGCGGCTTTGCGTTAATAAAAGTTTCGCGAGAAACTCCATTGCCGTTCGATCAATTTCCGCGAGGCCCTATAGAATGTAATGATTTTTCCATACTCTAATCGAGACGATGATGTTGCCGCGGCGGGTTCGATCGAATCACATTTAAATGGACGTTGTAATTTCGCAGTTTCTTTGGGAACCGCGAAGCGAACGCCGCGCATCATCATCCGCGCGGATAGAAGCGCGAGCCAATTTCTCTCCGAACTGCGCGGTTAACGTTGAAAATTTCAGCGGCTCGTTGTAAACTCGTAAGCGGATTGTCCGCGCGCAGAAAACGCCTCGCACGGCCTCGGGCGTGCGGGGGCTGTTCTTTTCGTTCGCGCCGCCCGATCGCGTAAAGCCCGTGACTCCTGCACACTCGAAATACCTCTCAGCGCACCGTTGAGGCAATTTACAGCGGCGGCGGAGGCCTTCGTGATCTTGCGCGCCTCGTCCGACGACGCTTAAGAGTCTTACCTTGATGCGCAATGAATGTCAAGTAGCTTATGGCGAAGTGCAGTGCACTTTGAGCTTTGCATCGTCGATCGAGGCGCGTTTATACCCGAAACGAGCCGAACGAGCGAGAGAGTAGGTATATGGGTACAACGCGAGGAGAGGCGATTTCGATTCAGCGAGTGCAGAGAGCAGTTGTAGCAGCCAAAGTCATCAATCTCTGATTATGTACAAGCGTTAAATTCGGGCTGCAAGTGTGCCCCGAGCACACGTACATTTAGGCGCAGGTCGAATGGAAATTTGCGCGCAGGGACTTTGTCTAATTGCAGCTCTCGATTCATATTTATGTGTATACACACACACACGCGCGCAATATTCGTGGCAAGTGCGACGAACAACAACAACGACGACGACGACGAGGAGGAAGTAAGCAAACGCAAATTATTCAGTTTTGTGCCTGGCAAACAATGGTTATTAGTCGGAGGCACACATCGAGTACAACGAGCTCGCAGCTGTACGCGGCACATTGATGTATCTATATGTATAGCGTGCTGCGTTCGGCTCGCATTACAGCGTACTGCGCTCGCCGATCGAACGCGGCATTGTCGAAAAAATTTCAAATTTTTGTTTCGAAAATCGCCAATCTCTCCCTCTGACTGGCGCTGAAATCGTATATCGATCGCCATGCCGTAATAATGTAAATAAAAGCCGTTAGATAAAGACAATTGCGCAACGAGAAGTATCCGAAACAAGTGGCAGGCTGTATTATATTAATACGTATGTGTGTGTGTGTGTGTGTGTGTGTGTGTGTGTGTGTGTGTATGTGAGTGTATGAAGCGCAACGCGTGTGTACACATATTATACGAGCAAACTCTTCTATTGATTTCATAACTTCCGTTACGACGGACAAAAGGAGAGAGAGAGAGAAGCGGCAAAAATTGCATCGAGCTTATTTTCAACATGCGACTCACGGTGTATGAAAAATAAAAAATAAAAACAACACAAAAAAAATCTCGCGCTATAGGCAGCAGCTGCAGGTCTTTCGCACTCGGTGAATCGACGAGCTCGTCCAAAAAGCGATATTTCACAAAATATGCGCGCGAGAGAGAGATACTCTCGAGACGCAATCGATACTCGCGATCTCCGGTCAATTTTTCCGCTGGCTCGAATTAATTTTAATCTAATTGAGCGCTCGCAGGTATGAAGTACTTCTGATACCGACGGGGAGAGAATGGCGCGCTCACCGCTTCTTCTTTTTTTTTATCGCTATTTGGGCGCGATTAAGCCGAATCGACGACGACGACGACGACGAAGACGGGATGGCAGCCAAGAAGACCACTGACCTCTCGAGACGCAGCGAGTCGTGCAACAGCGAGCCGAGTCTCGCGCGCGTTTCTGAAACGTCTCGAAAATATAAATAACAAGCGCCGAAACCAACTGCATCGTGATGCACGATGACATAATAATTAACTTGTAATAATAATAATAAAAATAATAATAATCAAGAGCAGCAGCAGTGGCAGCGGTGGCGAGGGTTGTGTGCGTAAGCGCGAGGCGAGGCGAGCTCGAGTGGAGCGTGTGCGGTGGACATGTTCCCCACCACCAGCAGCAGCAGCAGTGGCGCGCGATCAGCGACAATTGCAAGTACGAAGAGCAACAGCAGCAAGAGTGGCCCGCCGTCATCGTCGTCGTCGTCGTCGTCGAGCCTCGTCGTAGACGCCGCTGCTTCTACCGAAAGTAGCAGTAATAACAAGATCGGCAAGAGCGACGGCAAGTGGCGCTTTGATTTCTCTCGATCGTGCGCCGAGTATGGATACAAGCCCGTACCCGCGACAGTACTACTAATTGATCGACAATTAGGCAACGATAACAACGACGTCTTGGACGATCGTCGTCGACCGGATCAGTGTTGTAATTTTGATAGCTGTAATTGTTCCGCTGCTGCTGCTGACGATCGACGTCCGGCCATGGCCGAGGAAGGCTCGAAATTGCTGCAGTTCGTTGCGGCGTCTGCCGGTGAGTATCGTCTTCTTCTACTTCTTCCTCTTCTTCTTCTTCTTTCATCGTTTTTCCTCGCTGAGCTCGTTGTTGTTGTCGTCGTCGCTTGATCGTCCGAGCTTTATTGGATCCGATCCAAGCGAGCTTTTTGATCTCTCTCTCTTCCTCTCTTTCTCTCTCGCAACCGATCGGCGGCGGCGACGACGGGCTCGCGCGATACAGAGACACAGCTCTGTGTGCAGTGTATGTAAGCCTATAGATCGGAGCAATAATGATTTTATCACGCTAGCTCATGGCTGCAATAAACTCGCGACCGAGCGGCAGATTGGATTTTTCGATCTCGGAGCTCAGCTGCGCTAATCTATGATGAGCAAACACATATCGCGAGCTGCTCTCTGCGAGGAAGATTTACATCAATATCGATCTCGATCTCTCTCTCTCTCTCTCTCTCTCTCTCTTGCCTCGTGTATATGCAAAACAATTTTTGCATATCGTTTGTTATTAAACATGTACATACGTCTATAGACGTGCGCGCGTTTATTTTTATCGCGCGAGCGGCTGTCAGCAACGCGTGTGCGCGCACTGCAGTTGCGATCTGTCGAGCTCGCTCCGACGAATTAAAAAAATCACCGACGACGAAGCAGCGGCAACGGCAGCTTATCTGCTGGGTGAGCAGACCTTTCGCAAGCCGCTGCACCACTCGATGATGATGCTGCGGTGGGTGGAAGACCAATTTTTCCCGCTCGGCGAGATCGGCGCTTATTTTCTGGCTAATCTCCAATCCCAACGTTCGACGATGACGTTTTTCAAGTTTCGCTTTTAATAGAGCCCATAGTTCACGCGCTTGCAGCAGCAGCAGCAGCAGTACATTCTCGGGCGTTATGCAGAAAAATTTCAATTACCGCATTGTTGTTCATCGTAAACAGGCGTATTATGCGAGCCAGCGAGGCAGATAAGACATTAACAATTTTTGCGCTCGAGTCCACGTTCGCGCGCGATAAGTTTTCCGTAATTGACTATACTCTCTTTTTTTTTCAAACTCAGGAGCGCGTTTATTACGTGTCGCGGGAGGCCATAAATTTCGCGCGGCTGCGAAAAATGCCAATTTTTTCTCGTAATTACACTGGCACGGCTCGAAGTGTAACTAGCTAAATAATTATCGATATCAGTCGGAGCTGTTATCAATCAAGGCGGAACTACGACGGAAGTTAAATCGACGCGAGCGAGCTAGCGAGCTAGTGCCGCGAGACTCTCCGAGGAAAAAAAAAAGAGGAGCGGAGAGACTGAGATAGAGATAAATCAGCGCTCGACAAAAGAGTGAAAAGATTTTCTCGCTCGCGAGCGTCCGCCTCACGACCATACTATGCCGTGAAGCTGCAGCTCGAACTCTCGCTGCGCGTTCGTAATAAAGAAGCACTACTGCGAGATTAAGATCTCGAGTCTACGCGCGCTTATATTGAATTAGACGCGCGCGCGCACTACGCCGCGCGCTTCTTTCGGAAAATTCGACTCCGCGAGAAGGGAGCTTTTCATCGATATTTCTTTTCCGGACGCATATATACGCGCGGAGAGAGAAAGCGAGCGAGGGAGAGACTAAAGAGCTTATTTTATAGTTGCATTAAGCTGGATTGAAGCTCGAGGTAAAAAGAGGAGATGATTTTTTTTTCGTGCAGGTGCGGCGCGCGCTGCTCGTCTGTACATGCGCACCCATTGATACACGAGCGCGAGCGAGAGAGAAAATGTCCGCTCAATTAATGACTCTTTTACCTGCGCCTGCAATGTCAATATAATCAGCTTTCGGGAAAAATCTAAAAAATGCGATAAATTCACTTACGCGTACGCTATGCACGAGAGCTTTTATGAGTTTTAATGCCTCGAGTAAAATGCAGATTTTAATTGCTTTAATATGTCTCTCTCTCTCTCCTTTTGCGCGAAATAGCAAAATGATATAAAATAATTACAAGCTGCGCGCGCGCAGTAATCCGTCTGGCGCTGTGATATTTTGATTAAAATATAATAAAGTGTAATGTACAGCACCTTTTGTGATTTTAATCGCTGCCAAGTGAGTCTCATTAGTTTTTACCCACATACTCGATGCGCGAGTTTTACAATGCCCACTCGATGTGAATTAATCTTCTTTTTTTTTCTTAATTCACGTACTCATACCTCGGTTTAAATATGCCAAAAATTGTATTGAAGCAGCGATCGAAATCGCGCGGCACGCGATAAAGACTCGTGGGAGATTTTTCAATTTAGCTCATTATGCACGCGATAAAATAATCGTGTCGTTTGTTTTTTTGCATACTCAGCGAATCTATGCATCTTCGCGAGCGGAGCCATGATGGGCTGGACGAGTCCAGTCCTGGCGAACATGCAGAAAAACGTCACGAGCCTGGATGAGAATCCACTGGGCGTACAGATCAGCGCCGAGGAGAGCTCCTGGGTCGGGTCTCTGATGACGCTCGGTGCAGTCGTTGGCAGCCTGGTTTCCGGTAGTCTCGGTGACAGGTATATACAATACGTACATTTTATTTTTTCTTCTCGATTCGCTCGATTGCTAAAATCGATCGTGTTCGATGCCCCGAGCACAGATACGGCCGCAAACGAGCCCTGCTGTACAGCACGGTGCCCAACATCATCGGCTGGATACTCGTGGCCACGGCGAAAAACCTCGTACAGCTCTACGTGGCCAGATTCGTCTTCGGCGTCGCTCTGGCCATCAGCTACACGATCGTACCCATGTACTGCGGCGAGATCGCCGAGGTAAGTGCAGCTGCGCATCGTAGTCCCACCTCCCTGCGTATCAAATATTCATTACGCACTCCGCGCGGACTGCGGCGGGACGTTGTATATATATAATTCGCGCGATTGTTACAGACGAGCATCCGAGGACTGCTGGGCTCGTTTCTTCAATTATTCGTGACGATCGGTCTGCTGTACGCCTACGCGATCGGCCCCTACGTCTCGTATCTGGTCTTCTGGATCGTCTGCGGCGCGCTGCCCTGCGTCTTCTTCGTCTGCTTCCTGTTCATGCCCGAGTCGCCGTACTACCTGCTGAGCAAGCACCAGGAGGACGAGGCCGCCGAGGCGCTGGCGCGGCTGCGGGGAAAGACGCGACTGGGCGTGCAAGCCGAGCTCGACGAGATGCAGGTACGCACGTATTATATATACAAGCGAGACTTAAATCGTTGTCCAAACAAAAAGCACTCAACGATTTTTCTTAGGCTCGAGTTGGTATGCTGTACTCGCAGCTAGCTAAGAATTAGCAAGCCAAACACGAGAAGCGTATATATGCGTATATTCGCGTCTCGGAAGCGCGAATACGAGCAAACACGGAGTCTGTAGGTAGGTGCATACGCACGCACGCGTGTATCGCACGGTAAACTCCAGTCGCGGCGCGCGTCGCGGAAAGTAGCGAGAGTAAATTTACTTATATAATAAGGAGCAAACTGCTTTGGCTCTGCACTAGTGCTCGTATGTATATCTTGTATACTACATGTACCCGTATGCATGCGCGCACTCCTTTACGCAGGCATCGGTGAATCAAGCCTTCAACAGCACAGTCAAGATCACGGATTTGTTTACCGTCAAGGCGAACTTCAAAGCGCTGCTGTTCACCTGCGCCGGGGTGAGCTTTCAGCAGTTCACCGGCATCAACGTCGTCCTCTTCTACACGCAGAACATATTCGAGGAGACCGGCACCAACATCGATCCGGCCGTATGCGCCATCGTCACGGGCGTCGTTCAGCTCGGGGCGTCCTGCGTCACGCCGATCGTCGTCGACCGACTGGGTAGACGTCCCCTGCTCATCGTCTCCGGGGCTGGCACTGCTCTAGCCACCGTTAGTATACCTTTTTATACCCCGATAAAAATGCTCGACATTGATGCGGGCCTGATGTCTAAATGTAGACAGTAATGGAAATGGTTTCGGAAACGTAATCATGATTAATTAATTAATTAATTAATGCAATAATTGGCTTATTTTTGGCGATTTTTTTTATTATCTTTATAGCAAGTATTAAATACATTTTAAAGAACCTAATAATAAAAATTTAATCGTTGGCAAAATTCAGACCAATTTTTAATTACTTTGAATATAATAACGTCATCTTGAGCCTCTACCACTAGATGGCGAGTACTAATTTTTCTGTAAACCTAAAAGTGGAAAAGTAAAAATAACTGTATAAGTCAAAGCATGGTTTTGGGGAATAGTATCATTAATCCTATACTCCATTCATCCATATATAGAGCCTAATCTTGATTCTAAGAGAGCAATTTGATGTTTTTTGACGCAGGGCGCGCTGGGCGTATTTTTCTTCATGAAGGACGAGCTGCACTCGGACGTGTCGCAGCTGAGTTGGCTGCCGATCGCCTCCATCATCCTGTTCATGTGCACCTACTGCATCGGCTGGGGCCCGCTGCCCTGGGGCATCATGGGCGAGCTCTTCTCGGCCGACGTCAAGGCCAAGGCGTCCAGCATCACCGTCCTCGTCTGCTGGGCCGAGGCCTTCGTCATCACCAAGTACTTCAGCAACATCGCCCAGTCCGCGGGCTTCTACACGGGCTTCTGGATCTTCACTGCCTTCTGCGTGCTCAGCGTACTCTTCACCCTGTTCCTGCTGCCCGAGACCAAGGGCAAGAGCTTGCAGCAGATCCAGGACGAGCTCAACGGCGTCAAATCGTCCGCCAAGAAGCGCGAAAGTCGCCAGAGCTCGACCAACGAGAGATTTTGAGAGAAATTTTGCCATTTTATACCGATCAAAACTTTTTTAAAGCTCTACTTCGTTAGAAAAAAAAAGATAGCTTAGATAGCTGATATCGTTGAAAAACCAAATACTGTTAAGTACTTTTATTGATTATTGTCGAAGCGCAAGAGCATTCGATTATTTTTATACAGATTTAGTAAAAATAGCTAGTCATTCGTGAAAGTATGATATAAATTTAGAAGAAAAATTATGTTTATTTTTTTAAAAATACAAAAATAAATTACAACTAGGAAATTTTTTAACATAAACTTTAATACGTAAGCCGATACTACAACATTCCATTACATATTGATTTTGGTACATTTTCAAAGTTGATTAAATGAAATTCGTTAATCGACACTGAGTGCATTTAAAAGCAGTTTCCAGTAGTACAAGGATAAATGAAACTCCATTGGCAAGGAGTTCTAAAAATGTTTGTTCGAAACAGATTTGTAAATGAGATATTCAGGTAGATATTTCATCTTTGAACTCGTCAAACGAATATTACTCAATTTTGTTATATACTTATTACAATTTCACTTTTTAATCAACTCGAATCATTTCGAAAATGTTATATTGGTAAAATTAAATGAATTATGTAATTATGATAATTTTATACTAATTTTATTTGAAATTGATTGTATGAAATACTTATCCAGAAATATATTGAAAACATTGTTACCAATTTGATTTATTGTTTTATTGAAATTGCCATTTAACACTTATTTAACGAGTATTGCCTTGAGCGTGTGCAAGCAGAGGAGACGTACGACCAACAAACGACGAGCGAGACACGAAAATCGGAAAGGCAAACTTGCTCGGTAATTCTGAAGTATTATTTTTAAAAGCATGTTATCGAAAGGACTAAAAGATATTTCACGGATAAATTGGAAAGTTCGAAATAGTGAAATAAAATTGTAAATTAAATCTTTACATTTTTAAGGTCTATGAAAAATATATTTCGATGCCTTCAAAAATATTTGAATAGTCATTAGTAAATATTGCGCAGAAGTTTATATCAAGCATTTTTAAAACTACTTTGATAGCTCGAAAAAAAACAAATGAATTAAGTTATTAGAATAATATTTCATGTGCAGCTAATAAACTAAAATAAATTTGCCGATTGTATGATAACGCATTTAATTCTGGATTTTATTTTTTTCTAAATTTCAATATGCACTCGTAAATAATTAAGTATGAAATGTAAATAACTAAGTATAAAATTCATTATTATTCAGATTATTACATGAATCGTAAAACAAACAGGAAATTCCGGTATTAATTTAGCTGCATAACAGTTCCAACAAGTATTAGTTTTATAAAACAAATGAATCAGTTTCAGTACTCCTTGATATAAATTGCTGAAAAAAAGGATGAATGGAAATGCACAAAAATGAAAAACTAGGTTTTCATTTGAAGATTATGTTTTCTACGTAACTATATCTATACTTTGATAATTATCGTTAACTATCTATACTTCGAAACGAATCCATCATTTTTTTAAGATGAACGTTTTATTGCATCTCTAATCGTCGGTCAAGATTTTTTGATAACAAATCAGTAATGTGCAAAAAATTTAATTCTCTGTGAAGCCCCTCCACTTTTTTTTTTCTTTAAAGAGGATTATGAGAGGGGGTAAAATACGAGCGGGCATCTGTCCTATATGTTTACGGTCATTTTCTGTCGAAGCATCATTGCAGTTACGCGATTGAAAATAAACTTTGTCGTTTTCTATTGATTTTTACCTAATATTTTTTTTTATTTCAACAGTACTGCCCGGGAAATGAGTACGGAAAAAGGATCGAGATTACTTCAATATGTGGCTGCATCAACAGGTGCGTGAAATTGAGCTATACAAAACCAATAGGAAATCAATACAACATTCTGAACTAAAAACTAATAATACTTTTTGCAAAAATTTTTGTTTCGTGAATGTTATAAATTTGTTTTTTGTATACTTCAATAAAGTTATTTATAAATATCATTCATGACTATAGTTACAAAAGAAACAATTTGAATTTGACGAAAATACCTCGCGCGTGACGTAGTTTCAATTTGAGGAGATTTACCTAATGAGCCGCGCCATTTGTTTACATTTTTTTCATCGCCCACTCCAATAAAACGATCGAGATCGGTATCGGCATTTCATTACCATTATGATTATGCATTTCGTACATCGCTATTGCAGTAATCGCATTTCAATCGACACGTGTTGATTCGTATCGAGCGTAACGGAAGATTAAATTTTTCTCCCTCCTAATCGGAAACCGCGGGCACAGCGTGTCATTCGATATACCTGTCGGTGTTTTGCTCATTCAATTACGATCGATACAATTGACACAAAATTTATGACCATTCGCAGGCAATCTAAACATCATGGCCTGCGGGGCTATTTTGGGATGGACGAGTCCGATGCTACCGCGCCTCCAAGAGGACGATCCAATCGCGCCCGATAATCAGCTGAGCAGGGCAATAACCAAAGACGAGGGCTCGTGGCTCGCCGCGCTCGTTCCGCTGGGAGTGACGTTCGGCTCGATTTTTGCCGGATATCTGGGCGAATGGTAGGGCTATTCGAGAGGCTCGAGAAATTTTCACACGTGCCAAAAAATTCTCACGTCTCGCCTAATTCTCGACCTCTTCCACCGCAGGCTGGGTCGTAAACGCTCGCTGCTCGTAGGCACGTTGCCTTTTCTCGTCGGCTGGATCTTGGTGGGCACGGCGCGGCGCATCGAGCAAATGTACGCCGGTCGCTTCATCCTGGGATTGTCGGTGTCGATCCCGTTCACGCTTTTGCCCACGTACGTGGGTGAAATCTCAGATGCAAGTTTTCGTGGCCGATAAAGGCCAAAGCCCTCACTCATAGCCGAGAAGTACGAGAACTACTTATTGCCACCCCCGTTTTACCCCGTAAAATTAACGAGTTGATTACTTTTGGCCCAGTTTTAATTACGCAATTTGATAAGTAGTTCTGTAGCTTCGAATTTTCATTAAAATTCTCTCGCTGACTGATGCGATCGTTATTTTCTGGGAAAATGGCGTTATATATTCTACAGGCGGCCGTGAGAGGAGCGCTGGGCAGTTTACTGCAGGTCTTCGTCTCCATGGGCTTTATTTACTCCTACGTAATTGGCCCTTACACGTACTATACGACTTTTTGGCTGCTCTGCGCCGCGCTTCATATCGTATTCTTCCTGGGTTTCCTCTTCATGCCGGAGTCGCCGTATTACCTATTGAGCGTGGGCCGGATCGACGACGCATACAAAACGCTGGCCAGATTTCGGGGCAAGAGCCTCGAGGCCGTTCAAAAAGAAATCGAGGAAATTCAGGTACGTTGAAAAAAAATAAAAGAGAAGAAAATCAAGATCGTCCGGGCAGTTGCGTAAGTTTCGAGCGCGACGTTTTCTATGCCGAGTGCGCGCGAGCGAGAACAATGGAGAGAAGCACGAGACTCTCGCATACACGTATATAACATGTAAACGTAATTTTGATTTCTGATGGCAATGAAAAATCACTAATGATCCGCGCAGCGCGACGGAATGACGCGAAAGATATAGAGACTCTTCGGTGTTTTCAATGACCTTTTATTGAGGTTTTTTACTCTCATAATCGCCGCACACGGTCAACGCCGCTACTCGATGATAAATAAATATTACACGATCGTCGTCGCCGTCGCATTGTTCGCGCGTAACGCCAATTTCACTTTTGTTTCTGCGATCACGTGTTTTTCGTTTTACTGAGAGCCAAGGCTCGGGTATACAGGTTCAGGTACACAGACAGCAGCAGCAGCAACAACAACAAAATGCGATATTAATGAAATTCTCGGGGCGAGCGTTTGTGAAATAGCGCGCGCCGTGTAATAAAATTAAAATTACCAGCGCTGTTTTGGAGAGCAGAGCCGTGTAATCGCAGCCAGGCAGGCGCGTGTATTCCGAGCAGCAGCAAATTTTCCTTTGATAATCAAGTGCAATTTTTTCTTTACCGACGATTAGTTTTGAATTCGCTGCGCGCAATCGCGTTAATGAAACTTGTTGTGCGCATATTATATTTCAATGAAAATCTGAACGAGCTGTGCAACGTAAAAGTATACACGACTTGAATAATCGTGCGCGCGCGCGAAGATTAAATTTTTTCGGAACAATTTATACGCGCCGCAGTTATTAAGGAGAAAAATTCGAGCTTCGCGAGGAGGGCTTGTCTTCGGTTAATCGTGGAAACGGTATACAATTCCCGAGATTAACAACAACGGATGATTCTTGAACTTGATATTCGAGCGATCGATAAGCCTCGTTCTTGTGATTATTTTCACGTTCCACCTGCTCTTCCCGCTACTGTTTTTCTTATCGCGGTCTGCCGAGTGGGTTCTTGCACTTCCTGCATTCCCGCTCTCGATTTTCTGCACATCAATAAATTATTTTCAACGATCGCTCTCTGACCGGCCGCCATCGTTCGGACAATTTATCCGATCGATCGAGCAACAACAATACAATACATACATATATATGCGAACGAAGAAAATGATTTCGAGTACCGCGAGCGAGCGAGCGAGCAGAGTATAAAAAGGAAAATGTGCACGGTAAAAAAGGGGGAAAATGTTTTACAGTCGGAGCTGAACGAGACCCCCACGGAAAAGTCGTCGAGCTGGAAGGACGTCCTCTTAGTGCCTGTAAACCGAAAAGCCGTCGTACTCACGAGCATTTTGATGTCCTTCCAAGAGTTCATAGGCATCGACGTGGTCCTGGCTTACGTGGAGAATATATTTCGCGACGCCGGCACCAAAGACACTGCCTTATCGGCCATCGTCGTCGGCCTGGTTCAGCTGCTCGCCTCCTCGATCGCGCCGCTCTTCGTCGATAAGTACGGGAGGAAGATTCTCCTCGTCGTATCGAGCATCGGCTGCTGCGCGACGATCGTGAGTTGCTCAACGACTGCGCCACTGCGCGAGTCCTTTCGATCGGCGCGCTTCTTACAAAGTACATATAATTCACTTGGACGAATTTCAGGGTCTCCTGGGCGCCTACTTCTATCTGAAAAAAATCGACTACCCGTTGGACAGCATGGGCTGGGTGCCTCTGACCACTCTCGTGCTCTACATAATCGCGTACAGCGTCGGCTGGGGACCGATGCCCTGGATGATCATGGGCGAGATGTTCGCCTCGTCCGTCAAGTCCAAGGCCTCGTCCGTCTGCGTCTTCTCCATTTGGGGCTTCAGCTTTTTGCTCACCAAAATCTTCGTCGACATACAGGAGGACCGGGGGCCGCACATGGGTTTCTGGTTCTTCAGCGTTTGCGCGGCGCTGAGCATAATCTTCGTGACGATTTTCTTTCCCGAGACAAAGTGCAAAACGCTGGCCGAGATACAGCAGCAATTGAGCAAGGGAGTGCACGATCGGAAGGAGGACAAGTCGAGATCGAAAAAAGACTCGCTCGATACCGCTCGACGTATCGATGTGGCCGTTATTTCGCCCGTACTCGACGCAACGAACAAATCTCAAGGGCCCGTTTGATACGTACTAGCCATTTCGAGTACACGTGGACGTAAAAAGTTCGCAATGGTTTATTGTACATATAGTGAAGGATTTTTTGCGGTCGAAGAAATGATTGTTCAAATCACGAGTACCTCGCATACCTACCAGTTATACTCTTGAAAAAAAAAAGAAGGGATCTGAACTTTGTTTGTGCCGCACCCGAATGCGTGTGCATGTTTTTGTTTTTACGTGTGCTTGCGTATGGGTTCGCTGGTCACTTGACATTACTTTTTTTTTTAATGCAACTGATACGCGAAATAATGTAATACGATAAGAATTTTATAAATAAAAAAAGAAAACTCTCTATTTTAACGAAATCTCCACTATTTTGTACTACTCTACATACCTAACGGCAGTTAGTCATAAGCACTGAATTTCACATCCAACTGGAGGATTAATACGAGCTCGATCGTTTGCGAAAGACGAATTTTTTATATACATGCGTGGCTGCAGCTTGTCGGGCTGAGCTCATTGAACAAGAAATTTCAGCAGCAGTGCACATACTCGTCACTCTCTCTCTCTCTCTGTCTCTCTCTGGCCGCCAAATCGAGGCCTATCTCTCCGATGACATATCATTTGAATGAATGATAGGATAATCTTAGTTGCCTCTAGGGTTTCGCCAATCAAATCGATCGTCGTCAGTTTCTGAATTAATTGCAAACGTCGAATGTAGCTCCGCTAATCGACCTCGATCCCCGCGGCTCTCGTCTCGCTCGTCTCTCTTTTCCGCGACTACCTTCCATGATACCGAAAAAGTGCTGCGGTGCCTGCGATCCTCATCATGTTTCCGAATTACAAGAATTACGAGATCTCCTGCAAAAATGTGCAATTCGTCGCTGCGTTCACGAGTAAGTCGTTCTCACAAAATTCGTTTTTCTTCTTTCTCGTTCTTCCTTTTGCCTGGCAAAATTACTTACACAAAGTATTTTATTATACCGACTGCGTCGAGAGTAGCCTCTCTCGTTTTTGCAGTCACGTTTATCTTGTGTGTGTGTGTGTGTGTTTGCGTGTAAAATTTATGTTTCGGCGCGTACAATATAGAGCTGCTTTATACGAGTTGCGAAAATTATTATGAACTGCGCCGCGCCGCACTAAACAAGCCAAGAACAATGCGCAAACAAATAGTTCGCACTCTTTTACGAAGTTGTACGCGAGGTTTAGAATGCCTGCACCAGCGAGCAAAAATAAACATTCCTGCGCCATGAATCGATTACGTTATCAGATAATTCGCTACCGACGATGCACCGTCAAACAAAGACAATGAACTTTGGCCAGTGACTGAGAGTGTACCGTAAAATATTTTTGTTTTTTTTTCTAAAAAAGCTCTTTATGATAATTAAATTTTTTTAGCGTTTTTACATAATTCGGATCACTTTTCGCGCAATAAAAATTTGCTTTGTCCCTGCCCGCAATCGCTAGAACAATCTCACTATCTAGATGAAAGTCAACGAGCGCAACGACGACGCGCGCTTTGTGCCGTTGCACCAAAGCGAGCGGAAAATTTTTGTTAATCAAGCATGTAAACAATAACAAAGTATTAAAAACAAAAATAATGATAATTGACGCAATTAATTTTGATCGCGACCAATGCAGGTTGCCTAAACATGATGGCCATCGGAGCCATCATGGGCTGGATGAGTCCGACTCTGCCGAAACTGAAGGCGAGCCCGGCCTTGGCGGACAATCCGCTGATGCGACCGATCAGCAGCGAGGAGGGATCCTGGATCAGTTCGCTCATGCCTCTGGGAACTATGTTCGGTAGCTTCGGCATGGGTTACATCGCAGAGAGGTGAGGCGCAATCTAAAGCGATATATACGAACTCGAGAGACTCAATGATAAATTTTGCTCGCTTCAACAGATGGGGCCATAAGAAGGTACTGCTGGCGAGCACTCTGCCGTTCGTCCTGGGCTGGATACTGGTCGGCACGGCCGGCGACATCGCCCAGATTTACGTCGGTCGATTCGTCCAGGGCAGCAGCATGGCCATGACTTTCGGAGTGCTGCCCATTTACATCGGCGAGATCTCTCAAGTAGGCCACACACACTCACACACATCGACATATCTTATACAGATGCATAAAAGCAAGAAGTATCTCATACGTAAAATGTTTTTTTAACGACTAATTTCGTCGCACTTTTATCGGCGCAGTCGTCCAACAGAGGCGGCACGAGCATACTCATCGAAATTTTACTGAGCTGCGGAATGATCTACTCGTACTCGATCGGCCCGTACGTGAGCTACAGGCTGCTCTGCTTGCTCTGCGCCTGTCTGCACCTGGTGTTCTTCGCCGCGTTCGCCTGCATGCCCGAGTCGCCGCACTACCTGCTGAGCAAGGGCCTCAAGGAGGAGGCCACCAGGACGTTCGCCAAGCTGCACGACAAGAGCATCGACGAGGTGCGCGACGACATAATCAAGATGCAGTTCGAGATGCAGCAGAATCGCGACATGAGCTCGAGCATGAAGTGGCGGGATCTGGCGAGGGACGGCTTCAATCGGCGCGTCATCCTCGTCACGGCCATACTCGTCTCGCTCCAGCACCTCTCGGGCATCGACATACTTTCCTACTACATCGAGGACATATTTCGCAGCGCCGGCCTGAACGACAGCGCAGTCTACATAATCGTGGCCAAGGTCATACAGATGTTCGGGACGGTGCTGTCGCCCGTCGTGGTCGACCGATTCGGCCGCAAGAGTCTGCTGATCGTGTCGAGTCTCGGATGCGGCCTGGCCACCGTAAGTTGACGATCGCGACGTATAGTCCGCGTTTATTTTTTATCAACATAATTTTCTCGGCAGGTGACGTTCGGCGCCTACTTCTATCTGAAATCGGTCGAGTACGACGTGACCGGGCTGAGAACGATGCCGATCGCGGGCCTCGTCGTGTTCAACGTGTTCTTCGGCATCGGCTGGGGCCCCATACCCTGGACGATCCTCGGCGAGATGTTCGCCCCGGCCATCAAGCCCAAGGCCACCGCCGTCTGCACGTTCACGATGCGCTCCGTGTCGTTCTTCGCCCTGAAGATCTTCACCAACGTGTCCGCGGCCCTCGGCCAGTACGCCATATTCTTCTTCTTCAGCTTCTGCAGCATGGCCAGCGTGGTCTTCATCCTGGTCTACATACCCGAGACCAAGGGCAAGACCTTCTTCGAGATACAGAACAAGCTGCAGAGCAAGAACGGAGCTGCTAAAAACTCGACGACTTTGTAAATTATGTAAATTATGTAAAATAAACGAAACACAGCATAAATACAGACTTTTTTTTACTTTTTCACTGAGTAACATTATTTGATTCATTCATTTCATCGAATAAATCTTCGGGAAAAGCAAAAAGTGTGTTTGAAGCTTTGCTTGTTTATATCGGCACTTGCATATATATATATATATGACGCACGTGCGATGCGAGCGATCGCGACGAAATAGCTCATATTCGATGCAAAAACAAGCCCCCCGTCAATAAGCCTCGCCCGTCTTTTGTTCGTCGAGATCGGATCCAACTCGAGACGCCGTATTCGAGAGGGATTTTAACCTTTACGAGTTCTGTGTGTGTGTGTGTTTACATCGAAGAAAGTGACTGATTTCCCGAGCAATTGCATCCCGCAAGAGACGACAATAATACAGCGTCATGGCTGCGAAGGTGGAGAAGCGCAGAGCTTACACGGACAAAGAGTCGGAAATAGTAAGCGCGATGATTATTGACAAGCGAGTCTCCAAAGTTCTAAATTCGCACGATCTATTTAACTTGAAATGTTTTCAAGAGCGACGAGGACAAAAAACTGCAGGAGACACTGATGCAGCTCGTCGACGACCTGGTGGTTAGCAAATTTTCCAATATATATATATACGTATACGCAACAATTACGCTCGCGAAAGAAAGCCACTCGAGTGAGTCACGATCAGAGTCTCTGCTTATCGCAGCCCGGCTCTCTCTCTCTCTCTCTTATCGACGCGAATCGTATAATTGCATCGAGGCGATTCATGATCCGAGAACTCGAAATTCGTCATTAACTCTCTCTCTCTCTCTCGGCCCCGGTATTCAAATTCTTGTATACTCGCTCCGCAGTCGGGCACGTCGGTGAACGCGGCGCTGCGGGGTCTGCGCAAGCTCATGCGCACGTCGACGACCTCGATGACGGCCGTGCCCAAGCCCCTCAAGTACCTCAAGGACTCGTACGGGCGGCTGAAGCACTGCCACGGCGCCATGGCCGACGACTCGACCGAGGCCGGACTGGCGCGAGCCCGACTGGCCGACATAATCAGCGTGCTGGCGCTCGCCGCCGCGGAGCCCGGGCAGCGCGAGTGCCTCGACTACTGTCTCAGGGGCAGCCTGAGCAATCCCGGCGCCTGGGGCCACGAGTACGTCCAGAGGCTCGCCATGGAGCTCGTCGACGAGTGGTCGACCATGCCGCTCGATCGGGAGCGCGAGATCACGTCGGTGTCTGATATGCCCTCTATATATATATATATATAAACCGTTTGAAAGCCCGTGCGCCGAGTTTTTAAGCATTACGATCGTGTTTGTTGCTCGGTGTATATATATAGGGAAAGGCTGTTGCCGCTCGCGAGGAAGCTCGTGAGATTCGACGCGCAGCACAACGCCGAGATACAGGCCTGCGATTTGGCCCTGGAGATCGATCGCTTGGATCTGCTCGTCGACAGCCTCGACAAGAACAATTACTCGAGGGTCTGCCTCTATCTGGCCAGCACCGCTGACTACACGTAACTATATGATATACCTTCGCTTAAATAAAATCAAATCGTCGTTTCGTGTGTACAACTGGGGTTGCGCGAGCGACGTTCGTTGGCTCGACGATTAACCAAAGGTAAAAATCGTAGGGAGGACTTGGAACGACGCGAAATACTGAGGACGGTCGTGGATCAGTACATGAGATTCAACGAGCCGACCAAGGCCATCCTCACGGCTATGCAGCTGCCCGACCACGAGCTCGTCAACGGCTGCTTCGACGCCTGCCAGGAGCCTCTGCTGCGCAAACAGCTGGCCTACGCCTTGGCCAGGCTCAAAGTGAGTCGACTCGCTCGCGCACAAATATAATATATTTGTATACCCATTGTCGTATAATACGTGTGTCTTTCTCTCGTGGGCGCGCGCAGGACCACGCGCTGATAAAACCGTACAAAGGCCCGGACGCCGACGAGCTCGAGCGGATCCTCGGCAACGGCCACGTGAACGCGTACTTTCAGCAGCTGATTAGGGAGCTCGACATACTCGAGCCCAAGAGCCCGGACGAGATCTACGGCAGCCTGTACGAGCCGAGCTACGGCCGAGTGCTCATCTACGACTCGGCCAGGGCGAATCTGGCGGCGAGCTTCGCCTCGGCCTTCGTGCACGCGGGCTTCGGTCGGGACAAGCTCATGACGACCAGCAGCAGCAGCAGCAGCAGCAGCGACGGCGAGTCGGCTGCGGAGCTTAACTGGGTCTACAAGAACAAGGAGCACGCCATGATGTCGGCCACGGCCTCGCTCGGTTTGCTCTACATGTGGGACTGCGACGGCGGCCTCGTGCCCATCGACAAGTAGGTGTGCGCAAAAGCTCCCAACTTTTTTACTCGTTTTCGACTGTCACTCTTGATCGAGTCGATCGATCTCTCGGCAGATTTCTCTACGCCAGCGACGACCTGGTCAAGTCGGGCGCTCTGCTGGCCATCGGCCTGGTCAATTGCGGCGTGCGAAGCGAGTACGACCCGGCGATGGCCCTTCTCGGCGACCACGTCATGTCGACCAATCAGAATCTGCGCGTCGGCTCGATCCTCGGCCTTGGCCTGGCTTACGCCGCTACCAAGAGGCCCGATCTCAACGCTCTGCTCTACGGACCGCTCAACGATCGACAAAGTAATTATTATTAAGAACGAATAAAATGCCAATTCGTTGCTCCGACTTGGCGAGCGCCAAGGGAGAAAAAGAGAAGCGGCGCAATTAATCTCTACGGGTAAAGCGAGTTTAGCGTCGCCCGTCTGTCTTTTCTCCCTCGCGCTGGGGTAATTGTTGCACGTCGTATCGAATGTTCGCGCCTCGTGACAACGACAACGACGATCCAAGAGACTTTTTCTCATCCCCTCTGGACGTCGAATTCTAGGCACGATGGAGGTGATTGCCCTGTCGGCCGTATCGCTAGGCCTAATTAACGTCGGATCCGCCGACTCGGAAGTTTCCTCGGCCGTCTTACAAAGGCTCTTGGAACTTGATTCTCAGCAGCTCGCCTCGACCTATTCACGGTATACGGCTATTTACATCCTATGCAGTCTCGATCGAGCTCTGCTGCACTTTCGAGTCGAGACGAGAATCGAGCCACGGCGATCCACGAAACGCAATTGATTTTAATTAACGCGCAGATTTCTGCCTCTGGCTCTGGGCATGCTGTACATGGGTCGACGGGACGGCATCGAGGCCGTGTCGGCGGCCCTCGAGGTGCTCGCCGAGCCCTACAGATTGCCGGCCCAGACGATGCTCCAGGTTTGCTCGTACGCCAACACCGGCGACGTGCTCGTCGTCCAGGAGCTGCTGCGCATCTGCTCGGAGCCGGTGGAGGTCGACAAGGCCGACGCCAAAACGCCCGCGAGCTCGCACATGTTTTTCGGCGATCCCAAGCCCAAGAGCTCCACTGGCAGGAGACACGGCAAGAAAAAAGAAGCCGTCGTGTAAGTTGACGTATACAGCCGCTAGATGTCTATTCAGCCATATAATTTGACACCCGCAAGCGGCGGAAATCAGGCTGATTACTATATAAGTTTGATCGAAATTTTTTGAGGCGTAGTGTGATATACATACGTTGTTAGATGTTGCCCGAAAAACATAAAAACATAGATTGGCTCGTTATTAAAAATTCTTAGCGTGATCAATGAAGATCACGCTATATCGGAGCAGACATCTAAAGTTAAGCAACCCATATGTACATCACACTACACTTATGCTCTATTTTGTAATCGAATATATGCAAAATAGATGAATACTTTTCCTTTGGGTATATAAGGCGCTATCTTGCGGTGACCCGCAGAAGGCTGTTACGCTAATCACAGAGCCATATTTCAAATCGCGATATAGCACTGTAATAATTGCAAATAATTAAAAACGTTTATAATTTTTTTTTTTTTTTACTTTGCAGGGAGATGGTTTTGACGCAGCCGATAGCGGCGTTGGGTGTCGCGGTCGTCGACCTAAGCGAGGGTAAAGAAAATTCAAGGATACTCGGCCAAGTAACTCCTTTACCAAGCAATCTGACAACACAATTTAATAAAATCTCGAGTGACGCCGCTCGGTTGTTTTGTTTTTTTTTTTTTTTTTTCCAAGATCGGACGCTACGGCTCGGGACCGGCTCGCACGGCGGTGCCGCTGTCCTTCGGCCTGACCTACCTGTCGAATCCCGACCCGGGCATCCTCGACGTGCTCAACAAGTACAGCCACGACGCCGATCCGAGCGTATCGCTCAACGCCATCTTCGCCATCGGCCTCGTCGGGGCCGGGACGAACAACGCCCGCTTCGCCGTGACTCTGCGCCAGCTCGCGGCCTACTACGCCAATCAGCCGTCCCATCTGTTCGTCGTGCGCATAGCCCAGGGCCTCATACACATGGGAAAAGTACGCTCGACGTCTGCGATTTTCTCGAGTTGCCGACTCTCGTGCATCGTCGCTCATGCTTGCCTTTTTCCTTTTTTTTTTTTTTTTTCTTATACAAGGGAACCATTACGCTGCAACCTCTGAAGTATTCCTACAAGATACTGGACCAGGCGTCCTTGGCTGGACTGCTCGTCGTGCTCGTATCGTTTTTGGATTGTAACAATTTGATATTGGGAAAGAATCATTACTTGATGTACTGCTTGGCACTCGCTATGGAACCCAGATGGCTCGTGACTCTGAACGAGGATTTAAAGGTAAATAAATAAAAAATCAACATTCGTTCAGTCAAAATTATTTATGTTAGATGTCATATTTAAGAAATGGTTCGGTCGTATACTATACACGATACACTAAGTCAATGAAGCCATTAAAATCACAGAATTTCATACACTCGACGTTTAGTTTAAAAACATATCGGATTATTTTACAATTCGTGCCATTAAGTCTATCTAAACCCGGCTATATGAACAAACACTTGTCTTCCTTTGAAATTCAGTCTGTAATTCCTCTGTGTTAAGGAGAGCGCCGCCGGGTACGGTATGTCGAAGTACCAGACGTGTAGGGGAGGGATGCCTAGGTCCGGCTGGGCCGGCAAGGTATTTTTCTGCACGATCTGCCACTGCGCCACTTCGGGGTTTTCAGTACAGAGATCCATGAACACTTTCGCATCTAGTTGGTTCTCCAAAGAGAAAATGTGGGAAAAGCCCAAGTACGCACGATTGCTTGGGGCCACGTAATGCTTGTCGACGTCGACCACCTGTATCAAGGGTCGGTGGTTGGGAAACATCGTGCCATGATACCGCAGGCACCTCTTGAGATAGTCCTTCGACTGCTGGTCGTGGCACTTGACCAGCACGATTCCGTCTCTCTCCAGCCAATTCAGGAATATCGGCACGTGGCCTTGGGCGGGCTGTTGTTCCAGCATACCGTACAGAAACCGATTGCGTATTTCCTTTACCGTCAGGGGGCCCAGATACTTTCGACATGTCCACTCTGGCCTATGGGGCTCGATAGTCGATCGGATGACTAGATAGTTAGAATTCGATCTCTCCTCCTCACTGAACTCACAGTACTTGTACCTGGTATACAGACGTCTCATTGTCCTGTCGCTGTCCTCGCGCACCATGGATAGCGCCCTATGCTTTGCCAACTCTCTTCTTCTTGCTTCCGCACTCATAGTTTGAGTATTAGTTGCAGTTTGAGTATTAGTTGTAGTTTGAGTATTAGTTGTAGTTTGAGTATGAATTGTAGTTGGAACATGATTCATGGTTTGAGTATTAGTTGTAGTTTGAGTATTAGTTGTAGTTTGAGTATGAATTGTAGTTGGAACATGATTCATGGTTTGAGCCTGGCACTGTGTGTGACTATGAACGACGTTGTGACGAGTTTGTTATTATGAGTTCAATGATGATCTGGCGACAGCCCAGAATTTTTGCCTTTCCTCACCGCTGATTCTCATCGGATGAACTACGAAATAAATATACGCTCGATTTAATTATTATTGGTGGATTTTTCGAACTTCGAAATTATACTTTGCAATTAAATTTTTTCACGACGAATTTTACGAGTATAGTCTTAGCTCTTAAGAAGAAAATGAAAATTCTTCTCTATAAACCATATTATTGCTTAACTAATAATAAAACACGAAAAATAATATTAATTTACGTATTTGAGTAGTTCAACCTCGGGTTCAACTTTTTTTTCTAAACGTGAATTTTTAATTTTTCTACAAAATTAAACATCGTACTTTGATATTGAATCTGAATTATTGGATATTCAAAAATACTCATTCGTTCAATTAAGAGAGAAGCTTTAGAAATAAGTTTTAATTTGCTGATTCAGAGCTCAGTCAATCTTTGAAAGGATCTATTCAAACACAAAGATCTGCTCTAGTCTCTACATTTCCACTTCCCTTCGGACAAATTGTACACTATCAAAAACTGAGAACATTGAACTTGCAGATCGCTTTCCATTTGTATTTTTTGAATAATATTACAGAATTAAAGCATTCGATCTTATAGTAATTGTGTGAAAATTCTTTTGCTCATATTTTCATAAAGACGTAAGGTATACATGAAATAAAACAAACATTTTGTGATATTCAAAGTAATTAAAACATTTATTAAAGATAAATAAAAATGGAGCTACTCTGTTTAGATAATTTTCAGCGTCAAGAATATAATTTTTATCTTCGTTAAAATTCCATTTTCTTCGTTCAATTTTTTACTTGTAACTTTGTATATCCCAACTTGGTCCAATTTGGAATGTTGACAACAATAATTTGGATGCGCTCTAGGCCGTAATCTAACGTGCATTTACACTCTTGCAAAGGTATTAACGAAGAGCCTGGAATTTCCAGATATACTTGATATTTTTTAAGTCCGTCGGCGTAAAATCGTCCCGTGTCCAAGATTTTCCAGTTTGAGAAATCTATTTGCGGGTTTAGCCTTATCAGAACGTCCAAATTAAAATTGCCTTGTTCGCTCGTTATAACTACGTAGCCGAGATAGAGTCGGTCGACGGGCTTCACGAAAATGTCGTTGACGGCGACGGCTTTCAATTTGGCGTGGCCCGGAACCTCCAGCATTTCCGCGACCAGTTTCAACCATAATTTCGATCGCTCGTCGGCGCACTTGACCAAAAAAGTTCCCGGCCTGAATTGATCGAACTCTTCGAATTTGGGCACGAATCCGTCCGTGTGCTCGGCCATCGCGATCGATTCCACAACGTGATCTTGCAATTTTTCGAACGTTATTCGAAGCAAACCCTCGATACTCTCGTCCGGCACGATAACGGTATACAATGGATCTGTGTGAATGGCCGGGCTAAAATCGTCATATCTGTACTGCGGAAACAGCCTAAGCACATCTTCGGAATTTATGATGTTCATTGCAGCGAAAAATTGAGAGCTTCTGAGCCGCGCGCCAATTATATCGAGATCGTCGAACAAAAAAAACTTTTTCGCTCGTTCGTACGCTGCGGAAACAAAGTTGTGTGAGTCGATTCGACAGCGAACGAAGGGGGTTGGCGACAAAGATACCTCTCACTTTTATCTTTTACCAAGCGGGCACGAGCTTCGTCTAGCTCCTAAGTAAATATTTTGAATCGAGTTACACGTCTACCGAAAATTCGTATCTGAAATCATAGATTTTAATTCAGACGAACGATTTCAAATGAATAGAGAGACGGCCAATTACCGATTTCGATTTATTACAAAATTGTAATGTTATTGTTTTGTTATGATAAGTATATTCCGAGTGTTTGTGTACTCGTTCACTGAAAATAGCTTATCAAAATTATACACGTGTGCCCGGAAAGTCATAATGACCCCCATTACGTAAATTTATGTTTCTTCGAGTTATCAGGCAACTGCAGCGACGATTGGAGGCCTCAGTGACTTGCAAAAATACTCACGCGTTGCTAGGAGATGTGCTGGATTTTCAAATTCGGCGCTGTTTATGTATTTTTCATGATAGCTTATACTTGCAATTATTCTAAAGATCAGAAAAGAACAAACTAATTTATTAATTATCAACTAATACTTTTAGTTACTCATTTCGTCGACGATGACTACACGCAATTTATTAGCGCCGTGACTCAGTTTAAATCTCTTCTTTTTCAAATCACTCAAAGATGGTTCCGGTATTCTCACGTTCACCAGAATCCCGTCGTTGGCGTCGTCCAAAATTCTGTCGTGCGACTCTATTAACCAATCCGTCATGTCGATGTCCGGATTGTACTTCTGCAATCGGTCCAGAGCTCGGTTGGCCACCTTTTCCGCCGGTATCAACACTTTCGATCGGTAGATCTTGTGCAATTTGCTCGTGCCGTGTGACATTTTCAATCTGATGAGATACAGCTTCGACACCATCTCTTTGAGCCATTTTTTGGATGTCAAGTCGGCCGCTAGAATTATGATGAAACCATTTTTGACGTAAAAATTGTGGAATTTCGGGACGAAATCGTCGTCGTTCAATCGACTGATTCGACCCTTGAGAAAATCCGTCAGAATTTTGAGCTCGTTCAGTGTCAGCGGGTAAAAATTCGGAAACTCCTTGACAATGACGCACGTGAGCTGATTCGATTTTTCTGCCTCGGTAAAGTCTTCGAATGTATCCGTACCGAATTCCACTAGCGGCTTGAGACTCTCAATTTCCGGAGATTGGCACTTTGGCGTCTCTTTAATCGCAAAACTTTTTTCATTCGGCGCATTAACTTCCGAACGAGACACCTTTTTCACGACACTTTTCAGTCTTGGCCTGTCGACAAGATCCAACTTTCTGTACTTTCTCGATCCGCCTTTGTACTCCTCGTCGCCACCTTCATCGTCGTCGTCGCTCAGTAGAAGATTCTCGATATCCTCTTCTTCCGTGATGTTCAAAAAGTCATCCACGCACGAATTCATCGCTCGCACGTACGCCGAATTCGACTTTGCCAAGTACTGACAGCCGATGCATTTTTCGCGAAAGGTGAACTAAATTAAAAGCACCTGTAAGCTCGCTTATCAATTGTTTACGATTTAGAAGAAAAACACTGTGTGTGTTATTTTGATTTATCGCGTAACCAATCGCTTACTTCCGTATTAACTCTTTCGCGCATGCAATTGTTGTTGACGAGCGAATTATTTCAGTTGCTGCCTGTATCCGCCCGAGTTGGCCAAGCCGTCGACGTTTTAGGAAAAGCTGGAGATCCAAAGTCCATCACGGGAGGTCACGTCCACACGACTCCGTTGTTAATGTCTTACGGTGAAAAAGCGGAACTGGTGACGAACGACGAGTACGAGCCTCTGCTCAGCCCAATGGAGGGTTTCGTTATATTAAAATCAAAGGCAGATTAAATCGAGTATAATTTTCAAGTTGTTTTGTACAAGTTGTTTTACGTTAACGAACTGTAATAAAAATTAATTAGAATCAAGGTCAGGCGTTGAATGTGCATTAAAAAAAAAGTCCATAAACTTTTGCGTTTTTTCTTTTATTATTATTGGACTAGCGGAAGCGGTGTGCTTTATACAACAGAAAACTTTTTCACGAGCATTTGTGCAGTTACAAGCTGAAAGAACGTAACAACGTAGAATTAATAGAGTTCGCGGACACAGTTGTATAGGCACATTTATTTGCTTGAATGCCCGTGTTAAATTTCGTCTTTTTTTTCTTCTAGTATACATATTAAAAACTAAAAACGCGTAAAGAAAAAATTTCTTTTTTCTCAAGATTCTTATTATCAGTGATTAAATTTAAAATTTGTTTTATGTACTAAGTATGATCATTGTTTGGTGCGTATAACGCAAGCGTTAATTATTTTGACGTTTTAATAAAAATACGAAATGCACAAGAGAACGTAACAAATGCTTCTTAAAATTGAATACCATTTTATATGGTACGTACATTTTTGAGAATCTTTTTGTTATAAATAAAATTATAGAATAGTAGTTGTTCCAGAAATCTTACAACTTTTTTTTTATAAATAATAATTCCACATAAAATGCTTACGTGAATCTCTATTACATATAGCTCATTTATTTCAAACATTAAAGCACAGTAGCAGGCTTTAATTTTCTTTTCTTTAATTTGAGTAATAGAATACCAGCGAATTCATATCGAAGTTATGGAACCACGCTTATCTTCTGTTACAATAAATCTCTGAACCATACTAGCTTTATGCGTCCTTTTTAACTTTTTTTTTAATAAAATCTCTTTGACATCACAAGGACGCTCGCTTCGTTAGGCTACCCTTGGACTATACTTTTCCGACAACATGCTTTATTTCAACCATTAAAATTCACCCTCTTATGCCATTTAATTATTATCGAATAACCTTCTTATTTTGTATGTACAGTATACCTTAATAACTACTTTTTGCAAACAATGCAACTTTACTGCACACATTGACATACACGCATACAAACTTTTTTGTTTTTTGTTTTTTCGCAATATAATCAGTTCATTCTCTCATTCAAATAACACTCAAGTATATATTTTTCTAAAAAAAAATCGTGCGCTCTCCAATGAAAAAAACTTTTTAAAGAAAACAATAAATGTTTTGATAACAATCATTATAAAATTGACACGCGGGAAATAGTTAAAAAGTCGATGTGAGAATAGATGATAGTAATATCATCCTCGATAAATAATTGTTTCGCTTCATTCAGACAAATTCACGCTGAATTAAATCGGTCCATTGATGGGTCAAGGCGAAATTTTTACGTATATTATAAAACGTGAAGTAAAATAGAAAGTGTCAAAGATCAGCAGCAGCATTAGTAGCAGTAGTAATAGTTGTAGTACTAGTAGTAATAGTAGTAGTAGCAAGTACTGAAGACGGGGTTGGTGATTCCATCAGCGACGACTACATTTTTCATTTCATCTTCTTTTTCTTCTTTTTTACTCCGAAAATATCCCCCCGTTTGGTGTGACTGCCATTTTCTTTTGTCTATTACGCTTAAAATAGTCTTGCTCGTCTCTTGAGTTCGTTGCGACGCCACTGTGGCATACGATAAAATTCCGATCGCGAACAGTGAAGCACCGCTTCAAACTCAGCGTCTGATAAATGTCGCTGAAAATAAAACAATCGTCATTAGGTAAGTAATGAAAAAATAGCACATTTGAATTGAGTTAAATAATGATTATTACTTCTAGGTTGCAGCGATCAACATCTGCAGGTAGTCTGTAATTAGTTATTATGAGCAAATGGTAGGGGTATAATTTTGGTGGTTCCGTCGGTGCTGCGCCCATGTCCGGTAACGAGCGACGCACGTGTTGTCCTGGATGGTGATGGTGCACGTGGCCACTCACCGCCGAACCCAGCCCCCCTGTGTATGTCGTCGATGACGGTATTATTCCTCCGTCATTCTGTATTGATTGAAAAATATGGAATGATTATTTTTATTAGTGTAAAAGTTATGGATTGCACATAAAGAAGTTTTGTCTATATTATAATTTCCATACACATGTATAAACATTAATCAATGGCTTATTCAGGAAGGTAATATTATTAATTATTATCTTAGATACATATAAATAAATGGAAAAATCGGTCGATCTCGTGTGTAGGTAAAATGCATACATTAAAAAAAATTAGTAACGTATATTATGTATAAAATATTGATCGTTGATAATAACATCGTGATGAAACTAAAACTTTCTTTTGTTTGTCTTTCGTTAAACCTGATATGATTTACTGTCATCAGTGCCAAATCTCCAATGCCTCGTCATATCGAATGTCTTATAGTTACAATTATTGTAATTTCTACGTAAGGCAAGCACTACTCTATGTTCAAGTACATGCAAAATAACGTGTATGTTTTCATGAAAAGAAAAACAATTCACAGATGTCTGTATTTACAGAGAAGGAAAGAAAAATTACAACTATTGAGTATTGAAAAACACAGAGACTCTTGTACTTTTGCATGCAGGCTTTTTCCGAATTTTTCATGATTTTATATGAAAGAGGACATCGATCCTCTTGCAAAAAATTGTATACAAACTTGAAATGGACCATGTGAATGAAACATCATGTAAAATACATATGGAAATAATGAGAGAAAAGTGATGCGGTGATTGAAAGAAAGAAATAGTGCGTGCTACGAACCATGCCAAGCCGCTGGGAGTAGTACGGGGCTGTTGTACATACCAGTGCCCGCCGATCCACCTCCGTGATGCTGCCTGTTGATACTAGATTGGAAGGGGAAAACACGCGTGAGTTTTGTTTAGAAAAACACCATTGTCAACAGAAGAATAGTTTAGAAGAGAGATTAAAATTTAAAATAACACCGTAATCGAAGGCGACAAGCTGTATGCTTCGTTATTGAATCGCTGCTTTTTGCTATATTTTTTTCTAGTCTAACAGATTTAACTGATTTGAATCAATCGCAATGAATTAGCATTATAGTTTATTGCGACCGATTCATGTGTAAATAGTTTACACTATTTTAGACAATTTTTCTGCATCTATCAGAAAACATAATTAGTTCATGCTAAAACCATTTCAGTATTCTGAAGCTTACATGTTATAATTCATATATTCCATCTTAAATGTAATCAAGATTTGAAAACTTTTGCTTTTTAAGCAAAATTTTGCTCAAAATACATTATATACATAATTGTTATATAAAATTTCATTTTAGTATTAAACTATATTCAAACAGCTTGTTTGTTACAGCCATGAACAGCCACACTCCAAATTATTATTCAGTTAGTCCTTGTCCGAGTTCTTGTCCGAGTTTAAATTTATTTTAAAAATTTGAAATATAACTACGTCTTTATACTCTAAAACTATATGAAACTAATCTATATGACTTAACAATTAAGTCAGCGTTTTTAATCGCGTAGTTTAAAGCAGTACATTCAGCGTTTTCTAGGTATCAACTCGATAATGAAATCGTTCCGGCATATACTTAAGCTTGAAATGGTCACTTCGAAACTTCTTCTTGTGTGTAGTACATGTGCCTACTTACTATCTGATTTTCCGGACGAGAAATCAGTGCTGTGCGTTTTGTCTCCCATCCCGCTGAACGAGTAATCCCCCTGTTTAAATGAAAATCATCATTAGTAAATTATCAAATAAAGTATGAATAATATTTTTAATACTCTATTATTTTTAGCAACCAACATTCTTAATACCTTTCCATTTAATAAACAAAGTTTTAAATAATAGTAATTTTATTTTAGCAAATAGCAAAATTAAATGATCAATCATCCTCATTGAATAACGTAGAGGGTGTCAACAACACAAATTTAACAAGTAATATTTCTAAATCTATACATTTATTTAGTAATAAAAGACGTTAGGATTGATCAACATGATAATCGGAGAAAATTGAGAGATGATAGAGAAAATAAAGTCAAAGAATAATGTCATTATCCATGACGCGAAAGTGCGTGGCTAAACTTACAGGAAGAGCAGACACAGAACCAGCTGTTGAGGAGAAGGTGTGACTTCTAGGTGCCAGACCATATCCCGGCTTAGGGATGTGTCGCAGAGAGCTCACAACTATGTATTTTTTTTGTTTCCAAGGACAAACCGATTATTAATTAATATTTTCTTACGAATATTTTCCAATAAGTCGCGAATTCAACCCATACAAATGTCCTTTATGTTCGCAGTTTTACAAAGAAACTTTGATCAAAAGTTTCTCCTCATATCTTCATTATGTGAGTCGGGCGCGACGTTCCATTTTCGGTCTGGGTTACAAGATTTGTTAGCAGTACGCGCAATGGTTTCAAACATAATTGAACAACTTTTAGCTACAGATAAAATTGATATCTATAGGTAAAACTAATTTGAATTCGACTGTATGTTTTTAAATTAATCAATTTGTCTATGAAGAATAGTAGTAAGTCTAGTGAGTTATTTTTAAAAAGATTAAAGTTGTTTAATTTAGTTTACGTAGCATTGAAGCCGTTGATTAACTAATACAAATATAAAGCAAAAAGCAATAAAATAAATATAATAAAAAGACCCACACCATGCAAAAAAGAAAAAAGATTGATAATACTCAAACACATAGATACGTTGGTATATTTTACGTGATGTAAACAAGATCTCTGCTGTATAGTAATTTAAATTCACAACAATTTTAATTGTAATAAATTAATCTACAACACTCGAAAAAAAATTCAATACGGCTCAACACGAACTGGATATTAGAATTAAGAGAGCGGATGTCGTCATTTAAATTGACCATCAGTGCTGTATAATAATAAGTGAGAGACAGAGAGGCCCCTTGCTGCTACTGCTCCTGCCTCTCCGGTTGCTGCTGCGTGTAATACTTACGTGTGTGCTATATAGCTTGTATGTGTCAGTATAGTGGTTTTTAACAGACTCACCGAGTAATAGTGCCTAATAGAGTTTGGTAGAGTGCAGGAACGCTGCGAACCTAGTGGTGGATGATGGATCCTCGGTGCTGGGGATAGAGTTGCAGATCTCATTCCAGCTGTGGATTTTTTTTTATTTTTGCCGCAGTTCGAACGAGCAACAAAGAGCATCACACACACACACACACGAAAAAAATAATTATGAATAAAACGGCTAACAAATGGAATTAATTTTTTTATTTAAAAAAGGCGTGTGGGCCTTCAATCAAATCATATTTACTCAACTTGAAAGATCTATAGAAATCTTTCTCTGGAAAAACTTTCAAATAGAGTAAAATAGATTTGATATTGTTAAACAATTTTGGAAGTAAAAAGAAAATATTTCAGGGTAAAATTGTCAAGCAAAAATTAAATTTTTTCCATGCTGATCTAATAATATAATCATGCATTCTCAATATGCACGTGCCTTCCAATATTGAAAAATTCAAGAGCAGTAATTCAATCTAATTTCATAACTTTTAAAGCGTTGAAAAATAAAAAGATTGAAATACTACGAGTAAATTATCGCTAATTATGTTATATGACGTATGAGAATGATTTGTGAGTAGTAAGAATTGTATTTGTAAATGTGCTTCATGCAAAATCGTTTTTACTGTGCAGTTTATAAAACAAAACGCAAAGAGTTTTAGTTGTGAAAAATTGTCATCCCATTCAATCTAGTACAAAATAATTCACTACAATAAAATAATCGCTGCTTAAATTCCAAGCATACTAAGAGCTGATAAAATACACCACCTAATCGTTGCACTGCTGAATATACATTATAGTTGACTTATGTAATCCGTGCTATAAGTTTATCTAAACTTTGAAAAAAATGATTTCAATCTCTATGCGTGCTTGTAATGTTGTAATATCGTTATTATAGTAAGAGCACGTGACCCGGGTTATGAAAATGACCTGAGTTTTTTCTCTGACGATATTATCATTGCAATCAAATAGCAATTGCCCGCACTATACGAAGAGACCCGAGTAGTCCCCATCGAGAAGCTGATGATCAGTCGGTTGTGGAATGTTATAAGAGTGTCATAATGTGCGAACGTGTGGACATGTATGAGATGAAGACGCTCATAAATCATAATGTAATTTGATAATGACGAACTGTAGTGTGACGACTAACTCACCGTTATAACTCGGTCCACTAGATCTGTAACTAAATCCATCTTCGTCTTCCCAAGGTCTCGCGTGGTCGACGTTACGTGACGGTGCTGAAAAAACGAAAAAGAAAATTTGGCTTCGATTCACACGTGACAAAAAAAAATGTACATGAATTTTTCAAACTCACAAGCACCAACAGGACTTTCGTAACGCAGTCTATAAGCAGGTTCGCGATTAGCGGATGGCGTTCTCGAAGCGTTTCTCGGGTCGACGTTCGCAGCTCGGTGTCGTAGATTTTCTCGATCTTTCTCACGGTCCTGCAGAAATACTTTGGCTATGCCAGTGTCTATTTTACTCAATTCGTCGCGCTCTTTTTTCAACTTCTGATCGACTTCCTTGATCGACTTTTCGTCCACCTGATCCTCGTCTTCGGAATCTGGTACTCCCTATTGAAAAAAGATGTTTACAACAAAATGTTTAATAATAAAATTAAGAAAAAAGAATCAACGATTTACCTTATATGTATCTGACCATCGTCGACGACGTTCTGGATCGGTGTATGGATAAGGCGGCGCTGGGAAATCGTCGCGTTCTATGGCAGATGGTTTTCCAGGCGGTGGTTTCACTGCGTCCGGATAATGAGCTAGCTCTATTGGCTCCTCGTTATCGGCTTGGCTTCCGGCCGCTGGTGAACGAGGTCTCGCGTCAGCCAGGGCGTCCACGAGAGCTCTCATTCCCGAGCGACTACTACGACCACCACTGCTTCTTATCGAGCGTGAAGCTACGAATGGATACATTTATTTTAAGTTATCAAAGCTTCAATCGTAGTGCGTTTTAAAATTAATGTCTTTAGATTGATGACAAACACTTACAGCTTGGGCGATGAAAGTGTGGACTGGTCGGAGGCTTATCGTAAGGCTGAATCGGACGCCTTAAGTATCCTTGGCTCGGTGTTTCGGTCAAATACGAATAAGTATAAATTCTAGAGACATTTTCACCACCTCGGCCGTACTCCCTAAGAATTAAACCTGGACTTCCGGTTCTCGCTGGATAGTACTACGAAGTCCAAAAAAGAAGAAAGAAAGCAGATATGAATACTTCATTTTTTGCGTTTTAAATTCTTTTCAAATATTGTTGTGAATATAATTTGATGTACCCAAAACCATTGTTAGTAACGATATAAAATGTGTTACGTTCGCCAGAGATAATTCTGCTAGTGGCTTAGTCGAAAAAAAATGTAGCTGAAAAGCTGATAATCTGGCGGTAATAAAAAAAAAAGTAACCATAAAGATTTTCACGATAAAAAGCGACATAGCATACCTTGCGACTGAGACTGCTGTACGGACTGCATAAAGATCCATTAAGACTTGGTGTGCGAGACCTCAATGAAAACTATATACACAATGAACGTGCAAAAATAAAAGAAAGATAAGGATAAAATACGCTAATTAAACGAAAGCTAATGAAAAATAATATAAATAAAAATATGTTCTGCATAAGTGTTGCAGCTTGTATAAAAACTAGTTTTAAAATTACTGTATAGATAAGCGTGCTAATATACAAAATAACGCAAATAATATTTTGCTATGTAAGAGAAAAAAAGCTATGACTAGACATAATATCGAATGACAAAAAATACAACGAAATGACTTATATGAGACGTAAAAATGCATGCGCAATGAAAAAAAAAATCGGCAAAAAAACATAGATGTAACGCGAGACTACGCAAATAAATTCTATCGAGGCTGTAGCTTTAGAATTTGGCACTTTGGAATAATCAAGTAGCGTATATATAATTTGTATTTCGAAAAAAAAAAAAAAAGTTTGGCACACTTAAAAAAATTACATTCGTACTGATACAGTTTAGCAAATGAAAATTCAATTCCTTCATAGCGCTTGGGAATAAAACGTTTCGTGTTATATATATCGTATGTGTGTATATCGCACTCGATACTTAATCGAGCGGCCGATAAAAACAATTGAATCATAAAACGATCCGTCTCAGTGATATACACACGACGTAGTACGTAGTTATACAAGTACATCGAGGCTTACGTACACGACTTTTAGTCAATGGTCAATGATAATTGAATAACTCGTTTTACATCGTGTCATCGACGCGGGAGTTTGCATGTAAAATGAAGCCGCCACGGTTCTGCATAATTCATGTTTCGTCGCCCCATTGTTCAAGGCCAGAAAGTGCCGTGAAAAATGCAGCCGAGTCGTGCACGGCAATTAATCATTCGCGCGAACTTCTGATGCAACCGGCTTACAAATATCGCGCGAACGCATGCGTTGTAACGATTCTTCTGGTTTTATCGGCCTTTTCTTATCGACTTTAGTACCCGTCGCTACTGGACTGAGCGAAGTTCGCCAGCGTATTATAAAGCGGTTTTCTTTTCGTGTAATCGAGTCTGGGTACACATGGTACAATCGAATAAAAAAAAAAGTCTGCACAATCCCCGAGTCAACCTGAAAACTCTGCACCGTCAAAAATTCACAATGAACAAAGAACGGTGTGTATGCGTCGTAAGATCGGTCGATCGTTGCTCACCTGCATCTCGGAGGCACTGCTGGAGATGCGCTCGGATTCGGCTCCGCCGACGTTGTTGGCCGCGTTGTTCATGCGACTGGCGCTGCTGCTGCCGTTGTTGTTGTGGTGGTGGTGATGCTGGGGCGTGTGGTGGGCCTCCGAGTGGCCGTTGACTATGCCGTTGGGCTGGGTCGGGCCGGGTCCGCATCTCGGATGCCAGATGGCCGCGCCCTGCAGGAACATCTCCTCGCCGTCGCCGAACGGATCGCCGCACTTGGTGCATCGCGCGCAAGTCGGATGAAAGTGATGATTCTCGCCCGCCTGCAGGACTTTGCCGCTAATGTAGCGCTGGCAGTAGGCGCACTTGACGCCGAACTGCTTCTGATAATCTTTCTCGCAATAAGGCACACCGTCTCTGTGAATCGAGGACGAAAAAAAAAAGCTCGTATTATATAGCGATCGATTTCGGCGAGTACAGAATAGGCGCGTGATCGGCCCAAGTTCTTGCACTCACTTGCCCATGTACTCGCCGTGGAGTACGGCGTCGCAGGTGTGGCACTTGAAGCACCACACGTGCCACTGGCGCTCGAGCGCCACGAGGGCCTGACCCTCGCGCAACTGTTGACTGCATCCGGCGCAGGTGCCCTGGCCGTCTTGGCCGGCTTGGCTGTTGCTGGTGCCGTTGCTCGTGGCGCCGGTAGTCGAGGCGGTTCCCTTGCCCGCCGAGCTGCCCAACGGCGTCGACGACTCCCTCACGGGTATGCTGACGCAGCGCTGGCACAGGGCTTGACCTGCAACGCAAACGAGCCGCATGTGTCACGTGCATCGATCTCTCGCGGTCGGACGGACGGGGAGCGAGATAACGACGATAATGGAGCCGCAGCCTTGCTTCATCAAAGGGCTTGGATGCGACGCAATTGCCGTCAATCGGCCCGTCGGAAATAGAGAGAAAGAAAATTGATCCGAGGCAAGTACGAGAAAAGAATTTGCGCATCGATCGAAAGACGCGCGTGCACTCGAATGCACCGCGGCAGCGTGTGAGCCGGTAAAAGAAAGAGCCGAGCCAGGAAAGAGCGAGAGAGAGAGAGAGAGAGAGAGAGTCAACGACTCGAGGCACGCGCGAACGAGGGAGCTTGCGCCGAGCCCGCCTCGAGAGATGAAAAGTGGCTCTTGAGAGAGAGAGAGACGAAAATAATTTTCTGTACAACTGTCGCGCATACCTTGAACCAGCGTGACTTTAGTTCCTTGACCGAGCAGCGGCTGTCTGCATCTTTGGCAGTGAAAACAATTTGGGTGGAAGGCGTGCTTCTCGCCGGCGGTCACCACGTCGCCCTCGACGTACTCGCCGCAGCCCGCGCACTTGGTTCCCCATCTCTCTCGGTAGTCCTGCAAAACCAAACAACAACAAACGGAGAAAATGACAAAAGGTTCGAGGAGAGGAGGAGAATTTTGCAGGTCGAACCTTGTCCGGCGGCCCGTGGCGGGTGCGCGCGTATATCCGGTTTATAAGTGTATCGCATTTATAAGCTTTAAACGAGTCGCGCGCCCGCGCGTCTGAGCAGGAAACGTTTTGCGAAAGATTATAAAATTATCATCTACGGTGCTATTATATATATATAGACGCGTCGGCGGCGGTGCAGGCCTCGTTATTTAATGTAAGGTACTAAACGAAAACGATACGCGCTTATATAAAATCCTGCGCTCGATCCAATGGGCTCTCGTCGCGCAGAGCAGTCGCCGCGCCGTATTAAATAGCACACAGCTCGACGGCGGCGGCACTTATCCGCTCGCGCGTACAAGAGCTGCCGCCGCGAAAACAATTCGTGCGCGACCCGGAATAATTTCGTTTCTAACTTTAGATCGCAGTCTCGTGGGGCTTTCTCGCGCGCGCGTATAGCCCTCCCTTTGACTATACATATGCGTATACTCGGCGGCGGCAGCGCCGTCGGAGCTGCGGGTAAGATAATATCCGTCGTGGCGACGTTGCGTAGTCGCGCGTTGCCTCGCGCGCATCCCTTTTTTTTTGTTCTCCATCGATAGCCACGCGACCCTTTGAATTCGTCGCTTTTAAGACGCGCGCGCGCAGCTGCAAAGAGAAGAGCTATAGGGCATTGTATACGATACCTTGGTGCAGTAGTACTTGTCGTCTCGAGCGAAGAAGCCACCTTGCGCCAGGCTGTTGTTGCACACGGCGCACTTGAAGCAGTTTACGTGGAAGTACTTGTCTAGTACGCGCAGCACCTCGCCGGTGCACTTCTTGCTGCAGGCCTGGCAAAATGTTTTGCCTGTGGACACAGAGAGAGCAGAAAGAAAAATAAACCATCAGTATACGAGAGCGTGTGCATATATTTATAGCATATTTTATGGAAAATTCAATTTTCGAATGTGCGAACGCGTTTATGTTGTGCTTAAAACGTATAGTTATATATATATCGCAGGTGCCATATAGAGCCAGAGCGTTTTCGAGACGTATACGCATCGGGTTTCTGCGTGAAACACGTATATAATACGAATCGGACGATGACGACGAGCGCGCGATGAGCTGTAAATGAAGCTGTTAGCGATCGGGCGACTATTCTCGACGATAATTAAAGGCCTTTGTAAATTATAGCGGGCGCGCCAATCATCGAAGCCTCTCTCGAGGTTCTTCGTTACGTAACGATGCATTTTTTTCCCTCCCATCTCTCTCTCTCTCATCCGCAGGTGATTTCAGCTAACGATTCCTCCTCGGCAACTTTTATATATTACACTATGCTGTACTATATAGCGACGATGCATCATCGCACGCACCCGGAAGAGGTTAATTGCGGCTCGCGCGAGCGCAATTATAATACGTAGTATAGCTTTCGCATTCTTATTTGTGTGTATGTATCAGTGTGTTTGCGTGCGTGTGTGTGCAGTACACGAGACCTGGACTCTCGTGGCGCGCAGATGATATTCAAAGGGGGAACAACATACATAAACCGTATATATAGATACCGTGCAAGACGTTGCAGCGAACTCTCGAGGCATGCAAAGAAGGAGCTATCTCAGCCGCAGCTGTCACCGTTTTTTCCTTTGCTCCTCTTCGTTCTGCACCTTCCTCCTCTACCTCCTCGTCCTCCTCGGCGCTAGTCGCGCTTATGCTCAGCTGCCATGAATAATGCATTTGCGATCCGCGGGTGTCGCGCGTGCAATGACAAACGCGTGCTGCTGCTGCTGCCGCTGTTGCTTACATAAAACCACTTCGATGAATTGCCCGCGCGCGCGATAATAACAAACCGAGCAGCGCGTGGCCCGTTGCCGAGTGCGGCCGAGAAAATTTATACTTCGCAGCTGCGGAACGACGGCCGGCCCTATAACGACAGAAATAAAGTATACGAGTATAACGAGAGGCGAGACTCGCCGCCGCACGCGCGCACGTCGATGAATGCGTTCGCGCCAACTTGTTTTCACGTTGTGTGGATTATATCGCGACGTTCAGGTATTTGACTTCTTTTTTTGAAAAGGCGATGTACGCAATCGATCAAATGTCCAAAGATCGAAAGGTAAGACCCGTCAACGCGGAACGGAGCAACGAGAGTAATCGAAAAAATATTCGTTCGATAATCGCTCGCGACACATGATATAATAAGATCAGCGGCAGCAGCAGCCACTCTTTATAACAGCGCCCTACAAAGAGCACACACACACACGAACACCAATGCAAAAAACCTATACAGTCGAAGAGATATTTTTTTTCCTCAAAAGGCGCACCGAGCGTATAAAGCCTAGTAGTGGCTCAACGGCCTTCCGGCCATTGTATCACTCTCGAGCTTCTCTGCACCAATGTGCAGAGCAGAGGCTCTCGCTACAGGGATATCGCAATTCACACTCCGACTTGGATACATACACACACACACACACTGTACGATTCTATATGGAAAAACAAGCTCTCTCTCTCTCTCTCTCGTCCTTTGGGCGCGCGATGATAATGTGTGCACTTGTCGCGCTCGCGCGAGCGTGCAACTGCAGCACTCGCGAGTTTCTTATATACAGCTGATGCTGCACAGCTGCAGCACAAGAAAAAAATGACGCAACTCGAAACTCGCGCGTATGCAGGGGGATAGAGGTACGAAAAAAAAAAAAAACAAATTGTTAACGCACGCACAATCCGTCAATTGGATTAACGCGCGGAGCTACTTAGCGTCTCGAGCGATTAGAGCGCGCGCGCAGAGATTTCGACTGTAATTCGCACGTGTACGCGACTGACACGACCAGAGAGAGAGAGAGAGAGAGAGAGAGAGATTACGAGGTGTGCGTAGTATTTATTGTACGTACATGGATGTTGAAGTGCCTGTGGCACGCGCGTTATGTGCGACGTATTCTATAAAACGCGCGTTGCGCGGTTGCGTCATCGACTTGTACTTGAATGAAATTTAAAAACTGTCGACTTTTGCTGCTATTATATTGTGCGCGCGTGCAGGTGATGTGTAGGCAGCGCGGAACGAACGGAGCTGCATGGCTCGCGACCCGCTACTATATACCTACTCGGAGGAAATGTCTTCTACTAAACGATAGCGATTCTCTTTTTATGCCCAAGATATCGTGGCGAGGCGGCCCGTTGAGTGCAACTGCGACACGAATACGTGCACAAGACTTTCGCGAAGTGAAATAAATGAAGAAAAATCGAGCTCGTATGCGCCAAGAAGCGTGCAGTTGACAAATGCGTAATATTCAAGCGATCGCAGCGAGCGAGAAAAAGACACCACCCCCCGTTTCCGTCGAATTACGCCGGCGCCGAAGCTGATTAACTTGGAACGATTAAATCATCAGTTCGCCAAGTTGTGTACAATTGATTCGAAACAACGATCTCGCGTATGTTCGTTTGTGCGCATACACACACACACACACTGGCTTAATAAGCACTACAGTGTGCAGTTGTTGCTCGCTAAACGAACGATCGGTGTATCATCGATCTTCGGGGTTGCTGCAAGCGAGCGAGCGAGCGAGCGACGACGACCAATTCATCCGATTGGATTTCTGAAAAGAAATTCTTGCCTCGTCTAAAAATACAAAGAGTTGTGTACAGACATCTGATCTCTCGGTCTGATGCTCGTCATCGTGGCTGCAGCGCATGCGACCCCGGGCCAGCTATTATTGAAAGAATCGTATATTACAGGCCCGATAAGTCGATTACTCAATTTGTCCAAGTTATCGGGAGGCCTCTGAGTGTATTACACGCGTGATGCATGTGTGCGTCTGCGTTACAGTATATATTATGACGGGTGCAGTGCAGACTCGTCGATGATGAGCGCTAACCTCGTTTCGCCAATTCACAAGATTTACGATTACGTACCGTACACGACGAATCGAATAACAGAACGACGAACTGCGCGGCTCTATACCGCGCTGCAAACTGCAAGAGGCGGGGCTCGTGTATACGCGGTACATATAGCCCGCGACTCCAATCAGCCGATATGTCATTGAATATACATTCGTACGCGGCGCACACACACACACACACACACGCACGCGGTATTAGCCTGCGGGGCCTCGTCGTATAGTAAATCGCAAATATAATATTATATATATAATTATGTGTACGAACGCGTCCCTCTTAGCGTACGGTGCGTGGCCATTATCGCGCGCTGACATCTTTATCAAGAGAGAGACCGACGCGGTCTAGAGCTATCTCGAAGACTTTTACTCCCGCGACCTCGTGTGCCGCGCTGTTGTTTTTATATCGTTCACGCATGCCGAGAGACCCGCCTATATATACATAACGCGCGCAGACCTCGACGTACTTGTGAATGTCAAATTATTGAATAATAATAATTTTCGTCTCTCGCTCTTGTGAGACATTAATCAACGATTGCGTCAATCCGCGCAGAGCGGAGTGTGTGTGGGCTCGAGAGCTCCACGTCGCCACAGCTGTGTATAGCCGTGTTCCGGAGACAAGCGAGCTTATATTCGCGCGACAAAGTACTTGCGAATATTATATTAAATATACACACAGATATATAGGCGTTGTCTACCGAGCTCGCGCCTGGCGCGCGCATCATTGTTATACCACGTTCATCGGTCACGAAGGATGATAATCCATTGGAATGCAGTTGAATTGCGTCTCGAGGTGAATCACGAGCGAGCCTCGCAATCTCCTGTTGCCGCTGTTGCTCTACAGCGTGAATAATAAAATAGACAAAGGCTGTCTTGCTCTCTCTCTGCAGCGCTGCATTGGCAAACCTGTTTATGAGTAGCAATAGTACACAGGCTCTATTCTTGCCTCACAGCGCCAATTAAATCGTATTTTTGCGCTCGAGCAAGAAGAGAAGAAAAAAAAAGCGTATACATGAATAGGATGTCACTGTGCGCGGAGTGCACGAGAGGTTAAAGGCATCGCGAGTTACGTTATATGTTATATACAGCACTGACCCTTACACGGACGTGTATTATATACGTATGCCCCGTCATGATGTATCGGCCCAGGCAGCCATTACCATCACAGAAACGATCGCTAGTGTTTTGCCCGTAAGTCTGCTGCTCGCGGACTATAATGGTATCATCTTTCATTGCATCGAGCAGCGCAACTGCGGCGGCGGCTTCAGCGTCGGCGTTGCTCGCATATAGTCGGCCGCGCAAAAAGACGTTTGATGTACATTGTCGAACGATCGAGGAGAAATCGATCTTTCATACTTGCAATTTGTACCGATATTATACGTGTCGGGGCAGCTCGACTGCGAGTTATATTTGATTATTATTGCCTTGCCGCAGGAGAAAAAAAGAAACGCGAATCGCTCCAAGAGTGCAGCACATCTATTCATTGGGGAACTTTTAGCATTACTGGGTCAAATTATTTTCATCGTATACACTGCGCGCGGTATCCGTGCGCGCTTACGTTTGCCTCTGTACCGCGGGATCTCCATTGAGCTAGATATTCCCTATCCTCGTTCGGAGTCACGTTTAAAAAATATTCTCGGGAGTTTTGAAACGATATGTTTCCGCGTCGTTTTACTTTTTTGTACAATTGTATATAGTTCGGTAAAAAACAAAATCAAATCTAAAAAGAGTTTCATACAGAATTTGTCGGCTGTGAAATTTATGAGCTGTTATATATAATTGAAAGCTGTTTACAGTAATTTAATTAGCGATTACAATACGTATTGCGACATTCCTCGTGGAAAAGACAAAACATCACGAATACTGTATAGAAATTCGAGTAGTCTGTATACAAATATTGTATAGAGATACGAAATTTTTGAACTCATGCAAGATTTAAAGTTCTCTCGAATTGTGAAAAAGAAAAGCTTCGATTGAATGAATGAAC